AGTGTCACTGGCCCTCATATGTGGGATCCGAACCGGGGCCCTCTGGCATCCCAAGCAAGTTCTTAACCATCGCGCCACTCGGCCGGCCCCAGACTTAGGTTTTTAAACTAAAAGTGTGCATCCTAGTCATTGTTAAACCTTAAACTCACTTAAATGGAAAGTTCTAGGGTGAGAATCATATCTACTTCACTTTTTTTTTTTTTCAGTGCCCAGAACAGTGTAATTTACTGTTATGTCTTAATAAATGATTCCTGCTTGTTCTAGAAACAGTGTTATTTATGGTAGCTATGGGGAAGATTTCCAGCTTCTTCAAGGTCTCTAGAGCGAAAATTCCTTCTGTTGGCTTCTAAGTCACTGTTGACATTTAATCCTGATAATTGGTGGTTCTTTCTAACTTTTTACACATGACTATATAAAAATTTTGACTTTCAGAAGAGTTTTAAAATGTGTATCCTGGTGGGTGGTGGTGGTTGTTGGAACCTAACCTAGATTCTTTTTCCAATCACTTACCCATTTTGTAAGATCAAATTGCAGATATGCGGTAGGCCTAAAATATTGCCTGGGTAGAAAAGTTTAAAATATTTGAATCACTTTTATAGTAAACATTTACTCTCATCAGAACTTAGAAGAGGAGCATTTTAATTTTTGCCTTTTCATTCCCATTCCCTCTTGAAGTTTTTCCTTCAACAGTCATTACCTTTTTACATACTGGAGTTTTCATCTGTTTGAAGTTTGTTTACAGTATGTTTGTATAGTTTGGCTTATAATTACCATACTGAAATATAATTATTTTAGAATTGAGTCAGTAGTGAGAATGAAAGCCATCTGGTATCATAGTTAAATCCAATTTCTCTTTTACTGAGAATGTCTTTGATATATCTCTCTTATCTGAGAAATACTTATTTGGTGACAAATCAGAGTTCTCTTTGTGGGGTTTTTCTTTTTAATCACATTCGGTCCCAATAATAATATTAACATCGGTACAAGTTATCGCAGGTTGTGAACATTTTCCCAAGTAGCATTTAATTTTATTCTCATAATAGCCTGAAGAGACTGGTAGAATGAGTGACAGTTTCCTTGTAGGAAAGTGAGGTTCAGTCAGGTAGAGTGCTTGGCCTGAGGTCACTCTGCTAATAAAAAAGAGAACCAGTAGTAGAAACCCAGCTTTCTGACTTACTCTCGTATTTTTCTTTTCCTTCCCCTGTGCTGCATCAGAAACCCCGTGATTACAAGAGTTGTATTACCAAACCCTTCACAAGGAGGCGACTATTGTCCCCCAGCTTTTCTTGTGATCCTTTTCTAAAAAGTTAAACATTTAATGAAAAGAACCACATTCTTGTCACACACAGGTGACCTGTTGTCTGATGTCCTGCCTGAACTTGACCAAAAATCAGTTTCTAAAGCTCTCTTTCAGAATAAGAACTAAAGACTTAAAATGTAGCCTGTAAGTTCCTGCCTGCTCAGGCTTCCAGCTACCTCTCTGACTTCTTCTAGTACTCCCCACCTTGATCATTCCAACCTAGCACCGTACCTGCTCCCTGTCCTTCAGAACACCGGATATGGTCCTGCTCAGTCTGTCTTCTCTACTCCCTCTGATGGGATGTTCTTATCCCAGTTGTGGCACAGCTTGTTTCCTCACATTATTCGGCTGTCCGCCAATGTCACCGTCTGTGAGGCCTTTCCTGACCTGTATACACTCCCCCCCACCCCACCCCGCAAAACACACTGCACTCCCTAGCCCCCCACCCTTCTTTATTTTTCCCATATGTCCTTGTTTATTTCTCAATCAAATATCTACCACCACTAGAATGTTAAGTTCTATAAGGGCAGGCTTTATTTTGTTCACTATTGTATTTCCAACTCCAAGGATAGTATATAGTAGATGCTTAGTATATACTTTTTATATTAAGTGAATTAATATTAATATGTTAAATAAATGAATGAATATATTAAATGAATTAAATGAATTGATCTCAGGAAGGCCTTGAAATTTTGTGGATAGATGGGGAAAGATGGGAATTTGGGTGATGTATTTTCTTTTCGTGAAATTTTGATATTTTTCTAAGTTTATTATTTTCTTCAGTATTTATTACATTGTTTTTACAAAGTAATCAGAAACCAAACATTATGTACTTCCTGAAGTAATGTAATAAAAGTACACAGTATCAAAGAGTGTTCTTGCCAAAAAATTGTTCTTGCCAAAAAAAAAGAAATGAACCTTAATTTGATCAAGCCTGTAGGTATAGTTTACAGGAAATAGAGGCTAGAGGAACATGTTAAACCACACCATAGGGTTACAATCAGCAAAATCCAGAATGGGGGGAATTCTACAGTTCAAATGACCTACTTTTTAAAATAAATAACAGGGAGTGGGAATGCAGGGGAATTCAATAGATTAAAAGAGACTTGAAATATACCAACCAAATGAAATGTATAGATCTTGTTTGGATCCTGATTTACATAAATTTAATTATTAAATTTTTATGAGACTAAGGAAAATTAAAACATTAATTGTATGTTAGATGATATTAAGGACATTATTTTTCAAGAGTAATAATGGTTTCATGGTATGCTAAAACAGTCTCTTTAAAGATATGTTCTGAAGTATTTATAGATGAAATATGACAGCTGGGATTTATTAAAATAATCTGGACTTTGGGGTAGGTGTTGGCCATGGATGAAATAAGATGGATTGTGAGTTGATAATTGTTGAAACTAGGAATTCATTTTACTGTTTTATGTAAATTCTTGAGATTTTCCATATTAAGAAACTAAAGGGCTGGCTGAGTGGCGCATTGGTTAGGAGTTGGCTTGGGACGCCAGCTCTGAGCGGCAGGTCCAGTGACGCTGCGCCCTTTACAACTAAGATGGTGAACAACAGCTAGACCTGAAGCTGGGCTGTGGTGAGTCACCAGCGATGGCGTAGGCTGCAGCCCCTGCAGTGGGCTGCCGTGAGCTACTGTGAGTGGCCGGCAGCGGGCATGAGCTGCTGTGAGCCACCGAGAGTGGCGGTCCGATGGCGAGCAAGCCACTGCCTCACCCGGGAAGAGCACAATGATAATACCAACATGGACCAGTGAAGTGACGTCCTCCACAGCTAGACTGAAGAAAAGGATAGCAACTTGTCTGTTCCCCTCCACCAACTCCCCAATAAAAAGGCTTTAAAAAAAAAATTAAAAAGGCAATCACAAAAAAAGTGTTGTGAGGGAATCCAAAAGAGATTTTTGTCTTTGTGGAGCTTACAGTTTAGTTAAGATATAGGATGTGCACGGATAATGATAGCTCAAAAAAGTATATCAGTAAAAACTAATTAATATGAAGTAATATCAGCTAATCTTTTAAATGCTATAGGTAGTATAAAGTATTGGAAAATAATACATTCTGTTTTGATGTCCTGAAAGCTCAGAGTAAGGATCATATTCTCCACTGTATTTTTGGGCCCTAGCACAGCAGACATTAATAAATATTTATTGAATGAACTTAAAGCCTTACCTTGATTTAGTTATAGCCACTTAAAGTTGAACTTTATTAAGAATATATTTGTTTTTAAATGAATTATTGAGCCACATCTTCTTTTCCGCCCCATTCTTCTAGTCTGGAGTTGATCAAAGAGCCTGTTTCCACAAAATGTGACCACATATTTTGCAAGTAAGTTGGAATATTTATGTAACTCCATTATTAACTATTGTGCTTATCCTTCATAACTCAGAAAACACCTAACTTTATATAAACTTTAGTTTCTTAAGTGAAAAAGAAAAATCTAACTATTTCATTCTGCCTCACAGAGTACTCAGAAAAATCATTGTAAGTTGGTTGCAGCCATAGGTTCCTGGTAAATTATTGGCATATTTATCTAGTGGGATATGAAATTACTTTGAACAGCTGTTTGTTTTTTTGTGTCCATGGGTGAAAGCAGATTGCAAGCAATTGTGAAATAAGTAAATTGTGTTTCCACCTTGCCAGTTTCTCTTTTCTGTTCAGTTCTTCATGTTCTGATTTCCTCCTTCGAAGTTTAAATGTAGGACCAGTTTCTTCATGGATCAATACTTTTGTAAAATAAAATTTTAAAGTCCCAATTTTTAAAAGGTTACAGATAGCTGAAGCTTTTAAATGAGAGGCGCTCACCGTTTCTTAACGAGAATCTTTTTGTAATGTAGGCTTTTCTGTCACCTTGAGTAATGAATACATAGTATTATAGTGAGTAAAGAAGAGATTAAATTGTGAACATTATTTTGGGAGCTTGTGGAAGAAGAAAATTGCAGGCAGAGGAAATAATATGAGCAAAGGTATGAAGAGAAGGGAGTAGAGCATGTCCAGGAAAAAGAAACTAACTTTGCATATGTGATAGGAATTGTGTTAGGAGGGGAAGGAGCCCTCACCGGGGAGATGACATTTGCAAGAGAGAGAAGGTTCAGGAGGACGTAGAAGGGATTGGAAATAGAAAATATAAATGTTATTCATAAGCAGTAACGAAGGCAAAGGAGAATAATTCTACAGAAAGATTTTGAGGTAGGGTGGGAGGAATTGTAATTTGAGCTCAGTGAAGACATCTGTTGAGATTGGAAGGGTTCAAGTTGGCAGCTGGGGGACAGTGAGACAGGTTTGCAAATTGTAATACGGAGGATACGATAAACAAGAACCAGCCATATTTTAAATGATATATTAGAATTAAAATAGAGTATAATTCCCATGTAATAGATCAACTTTTTCACGAAATCTCTTATGTAATACCTTTGTAATCTGAATAACACCTTGATCTACATGGTGAGAAAGCTGGGGAAAATACCCCAAGCATCAATTGTATTTTCTCTGGATGAACCCTAATTGCTAATGATAAAATAGGTTTTGGGCTGGTCAAATGGCACATTGGTTAGGAGTTGGCTTGGGACACCAGCCTGAGCAACAGGGCCCCGGTTCGGATCCCACATATGAGGGCCAGTGACGCTGCGCCCTTTACAGCTAAGATGGTGAACAACAGCTCCACCTGGAGCTGAGCTGCCTGTGAGTCCACAGGGATGGCGTAGGCTGCAGTGGAGCTAGCTGGCAGTGGGTGTGAGCTTTTGTGAGCCACCGTGAGCGGCCGTCCAATGGCCAGTGAGTGACTGCCTCACCCAGGAAGAGCGCAATAATACCAACATGGGCCAGTGAAGTGGTGTCCTCCACAACTAGACTGAAGAACAAAAGGCCAGCGACTTGTCTGTTCCACTTCCCCGACTCCCCAACACTGTTCCCCTCCCCCAATAAAACCTTTGTTTCCCAATAAAATCTTTAAATAAATTAAAAAAAAATAATAAAGTAGCTTTAGTGAATAGAGTAAGTCTATAGTTCTGAAATCTTTCATGAGATATACAAAAAAGATAATAACAGTCTAGAAGAAAATTGCTTAGGCCATCTATGCATTAGCTTACAGTTCCCAGACAACAAATGAAATAATGTAATACTTTTTGGAAGATCTAGAACCACATTGCCCAAAGAAATATAACAGCCATAAGTGTAACTTAAATTTTCTAGTAGCCACATTACTAAGAGTAAAAAATAATAATTATAGTTATATAGTTGTATATTTGTAAGCCAATTATGACCAGAATTTTATCATTTCAAAATACAATCAATATAAAAAATACTTAATGAGATATTTGATATTCTTTTTTTTGTAGTAAGTTTCGTTCAGACTGGCCACATTTCAAGTGATCAATAGCCACATGTGGCTAGTAGCTTCTGTATTGGACAATGCAGCTCTAGGATCTTTCTCTTCAAAATGGGACTCATAGACCACAGCAACCATATCACGTGGGAACTTGCCGGAATCTCAGACCTATTCCAAACCTGAGTCACAATCTGCATTTTAACAATAATCCCCAGGAGATTCTTTTTTTCTTAAAGATTTTTATTGGGGAATTGGGGGGATGGGAACAGTGCTGGGGAATTGGGGGAAGGGGAACAGACAAGTTGCTGTCGTTTTGTTCTTCAGTCTAGTTGTGGAGGACGTTGCTTCACTGGCCCAAGTTGGCACCATCATTGCGCTCTTCCTGGGCGAGGCAGATCAGTCTCTGGCTTCTGGACGGCCGCTCACGCTGGCTGCTGGCTACACACGGTAGCCCATAGCAACCCACTGCCACAGGGGCTGCAGCCTACGCCGTCGCCGGCGACTCACAGCAGCCCAGCTCCAGGTTGAGCTGTTGTTCAGCATCTTAGCTGTGGAGGGCAGTGTCACTGGCCCTCATATGTGGGATCCGAACTGGGGCCCTCTGGCGTCCCAAGCCAGTTAACCATCGCGCCACTTGGCCGGCCCCCAGGAGATTCTTATACACCTTAAAGTTTGAGAAGCAGTGTTCTGGCATTTTGACCTTCCTATACACTTATTTGGAGGATAGTAAGAGGGACCAGACCAGGGATGGCTGAGGTCTAAGGACCAGATAGACCAAATAACACAAGTCTTGAGGTCTGCTAACTGAGGAGATCCAGATAAGTGGTGAGTCAGTGTCAGGGAGGTTTGGTGGCTACATACATTAGATCATAATATATCAGGGAATTCTGGAGTCTAGCAATGGGTTGATCTATCAGAGGTCCAGAAATAGGCAAGAGATAGATAGTCTAGCAAGTAGATTGAACATAGTCTTTCAGGAGTCTAGTAGCAGAAATGAGCAGAAGTTCAGGGTGGTGGTTATTAAGGGAAAAGAAGCAGCGGGGGTCTAGCATAGGAGACTAAGGGTTAGGGCTAAGACGTTTCCCTAGAAGACAAGAGCCTTGACCCGTGGGACTGGGATGCCAGGCTAGGAGCACTCAGGGTTGAGTGGATTGACAGAGGGCAATGCATGTTAAAGTACCTGGCCAGTAAAAAGTATTCTCTAAGTGGCTCACCTGTCCCGCTGCCTTTTCAGCACCCTTAATGTTTCCTTTCCTTGCTCTCTTCAATGTCAGTATGTGCTCTCTACTCCCTTCCCCAGTCACCTCCCTAGCCAGAATATTATGTCCTTTGTAATGGCGGGAATTTTGTTTTGCTTTTCCACTGTATCCCCTGTATCTAGAATAGTACTGGACATGTAGTAAATACGAGTACTGGTTGTATGAGTGAATCGCTGCTTTTAATGATCATGGCTATCTCTACTGCTCTCTTCTCTTTTTTCCTTTCGACCTCTCTTTTCTCTTGAGTCTTCTTTTGTCTTCTCCCTAAGAGAACATTGATCTTTATAGACACCTCCAGCCAATGGAAGCAGCATTTTCCTTTGTTAGGGAAGCTGACTCATGAGACTATGTTGCATGTGTTCTTCAAGTCTTCTTAGCCATATTCATTTTCTGAGACAACCAACAAAATTGTTCTCCATCCAGAGCCACTCTAAAAGCCCAAGTGTCCAGAAGGCTGGAACCTTCTTTCCTTAGGCTTCTAGTGAGGAGATTAGTTAGGCTAGATACTATGCCAGACATTATAAATATAAAAACGAGCACATTTTCTCCCTGCCTTGAGTTTCTTAACATTTTTATTGAGATAATTTACATGCTATAAAAGTCACCCATTTAAGGCCGGCTGAGTGGCACATTAGTTGAGTTGGCTTGGGACGCCAGCTCTGAGCAGCAGGGCCCCGGTTCAGATCCCATATTAGGGCCAGTGACGCTGCACCCTCTACAGCTAAGATGGTGAACAACAGCTTGACCTGGAGCTGGGCTGCTGTGAGTCGCTGGCGACAGCGCAGGCTGCAGTGGGGCTGGCCGGCAGCTGGCATGCACTTTCGTGAGCCACCGTGAGCGGCCGTCCAATGGCCTGCGAGCGACTGCCTCACCCGGGAAGAGTGCAGTGATAATACCAACATGGGCCAGTGAAGCGACGTCCTCCACAACTAGACTGAAGAACAAAAGGCCAGCAACTTGTCTGTTCCCCTTCCCCGATTCCCCAACGCTGTTTCCCTCCCCCAACTCCCCAATAAAATCTTTAAAATAACAAAAAAAGTCACCCATTTAAAGTATACGATTCAGTTTTTTAAGTATATTCAGAGTTATCCAACCATCACTACAATCTAAGTTTAGAACATTTTCATCGCCCCCAAAAGAAACCCTTACCCATTAGCAGCTACATCCTATGCCTACCTTCCACCTCCTCTTAGGCAACCACAAATCTACTCTCTCTCTCCAAATTTGCCTATTCTGGACATTTCATATAAATGGAATTATACAATATGTGGCCTTTTTTGTCTGGCTTCTTTCACTTAATGTTTTCATTGTTCATCCAATATTGCAGCTTATATTGGCACTTTATTCTTTTTTATGGCTGAATAATATTCCATTGTGGATATGTCACATTTTGTCTATCCATGATTGGTAGACATTTGGATTGTTTCTGCTTTTTGGCTATTATGAATAATGCTGCTATGAACATTTGTGTACAAGTTTTGTGTGAACTTATGTTTTTATTTCTCCTGGAAAGAAATCTAGGGGTAGAATTGCAGTCATAGGGTAACTCTATGTTTAACATTTTGAGGAACTGCCAAACTGTTTTCCAAAGTGGCTGCATTGTTTTATATTTTGCAATGAATGAAGATTTTAGTTTCTCTATATCTTCTCTAATATTTCTTATCTGTCTTTTTTATTACAACCATCCTAGTGGGTGTAAAGTGGCATCTCACTGTGGCTTTGATTTGCATTTTCCTAATGACTATATTGAGCATCTTTTCATGGGCTTGTTGACCATTAGCCTATCTCCTTTGGAGAAAATGTCTATTCATATCTTTTGCTCGTTTTTAATTGGGCTATTTCTCTGTATTTATTGAGTTGTAAGAGTTCTTTATATATTCTGGATACAAGTCTCTTGTCAGATATATGATTTGCAAATATTTTCTCCCATCGTGGATTGTTCTTTCACTTTCTTCATGGTATTGTAGCACAAAAGTTTTTCAGTTTGATGTAGTCCAATGTATCTGTTTTTTACTTTGGTTGCTTGTACTTTGGGCATTTATTTATTTAAGACATCATTGTGTAACCCAAGGTCACAAAGGTTTAGTTTTAGTTCTTACATTTCATTCTGTGATCCATTTTGAGTTAATTTTTTTGTATTGTGTGAGGCAGGAGTCTAGCTTCCTTTTTTGCATGTGGATATCTAGTTGTCCCAGTACTATTTGTTGGAAAGATTATTCTTTTCCCATTTAATTGTCTTGATGCCATTATTGAAAATCAATTGACCATAGTTATACGGGTTTATTTCTGTACTCTCAATTCTATTCCATCAATGTAGATGTCTATCCTTATGCTGGTACCACACTGTCTTGATTACTGTTGCTTTGTGTAGTGGGTACTGAGGTTTTAAACTAATTATAATCATTTTACTTGAACTACTTACCATTTATGTTTGATTATGCAGCATGAAATAATATCATTAAATATGCCATGTTAACTCTTTAATAAGTTTTATTTGATCATAACAGTAAGCCATATACATGTAAGTTCAGTTTGCATACATCATTGCTCCTGTAGTTTAATTTAGTTTTCTGCTTAGGCAGCATCTAAAAACAATTAAAGTCATTGGTTGTAATTCACCTGCCATTATCTTTAAAATGGTTCTTAAGGGTAGTTGTGAGATTATCTTTTCATGGCTATTGCCTTTTGAATATTCTGTCTACAAAAAAGTAACTTGAATTGTTCTTTTCATTCTTTATAATTTATAGATTTTGTATGCTGAAACTTCTCAACCAGAAGAAAGGGCCTTCACAGTGTCCTTTGTGTAAGAATGATATAACCAAAAGGTATATAATTGGGATAGCGATGGGAGGTTGGAAGCAACGATAGCAGGAAAAAGCAGAAATTCCTTTAGTATTCCTATCAAACCATTCCTCAGTAGAAAAATGTATGAAAAGGTGTTTAGCTGAAAGTAAAAAATTTCTTAAGCCATTTTCCTGAAAGTTTTATGGTATGTTTGCCTTATACAGATATTAGCAATTTATTGCCTTTTTCTAATGCTTCTGGATGGTGCAAGAACTTTCAGTCTTATCTAAAGTAGGACGGTACCACCCTGCCCCCATTGTCTCCTGATCCTGCTTTTATTTTGTTTTTTTGCATTTATTTCTCCTTAACTATTTATACACACACAACTTATTTACATATTGTGCATCCCTCCAGCCAGGATGGTAAGTTTCATTAGGACACTTACTTTTTATCTGTCTCAGTACTGTTTTTCCAGCGTTTGGCACATAGTAGTCACTGAGATATTTAATTATATTGTCCTACAGCTTTACTAAATGAAAATCTTTCTTTGGACATTGTCATCTATCTGTGCTTTCAAAATATTCTGATCATCATTTGATAGAAATGCCTGATCTAGAAGTGGGAGGTTGGGTGGATGAGGCTCAGATATTAAGAATAGTAGGTTAAGGCGCCAGCCGAGTGGCTCAGTTGGTTAAGAGCTCGCTCAAGAGTTGGAGCTCTGAGCAACAGCGGTTCGAGTCCAGCCCGAGCTGAGCAGCCGCTGAGCTGCCAACATGTAGCAGGATGGCTCAGCTAAAAGACAAAAAGAAAAAAGAATAGTGGGGTCCCCAATGATGGTGCCAACTTGGGCCAGTGGGGCGGCATCCTCCACAACTGGACTGAGGAGCAAGGGGACAGCAGCTTGTCTGTTCCCCTTCCCCCAATTCCCCAGCACTGTTCCCATCCCCCAATTCCCCAATAAANAGCAAGGGGACAGCAGCTTGTCTGTTCCCCTTCCCCCAATTCCCCAGCACTGTTCCCATCCCCCAATTCCCCAATAAAAATCTTAAAAAAAAAAAAAAAGAATAGTAGGTTCTCTAGGCAGTGGATTTATATTTACCATGGATTCAGAGTGCTATTATTGTAGATAGTTACAGGCTTTTGGTAGATTTGAGTGGCAAAAAAAAAAAAATTATAAAAACTATACTGATGTAAATGATGTTTCGATTGTAGAACTAATAGCTCTGTTCTTTGAATATAGTTTTTCTACTGTTGCTACATCTTTTTTTATTTGTTTACATGTCTCCTAATTTTAGTGTCCTTAAAAAGTTAATAATTGTTTGCTAAGTGTATCTCTCAATTTCAGAAGCCTACAAGAAAGTACAAGATTTAGTCAACTTGTTGAAGAGCTATTGAAAACCATTCATGCTTTTGAGCTTGACACGGGATTGCAGTGTAAGTGTTGTATAGCCCCAGGCGCCAGTGTTCAAATAGCTGTTCCTTAAAACTCCAGAGGAGGTTTACGCAATTATTTTCTATGATATGTGATGAGACCTTTTGGTCTAGGTTAATTTTAGCTGTTTATCTGTAATCTGTCTTGTAAATCGTTCCCACTGGTCTCACCCCTTATTTTATGGATTCTAAGATTCACATTTTAACATCTCCAAAATTAGGGGCCGTTTACCATCAATGGTGTGTCGTTGTTTAATTTAGTGTTTTCTTTCTTAGTGATAGAGAAAATAATTGTGTTTCTAACGTTGTTGGTATGTAAAATATGGTGTTAATAGGCAGATTTGTTAGTATTGAGGTGGGAAAAAAAGAGTAAAAATAGCTGACAGTCCATGTGTTTGTTTCTTAGGAGTAGAATTTCCAAAGTTGATTTTTAAAAAAGTATAGGTAGGACCTTCCTTTATAGGAATTTTACCCAAACCTTCTCTCTAGGCTCTCACAAGGCATAAGGTGACTCCAGGAAGAAATGTGACCCTGCAGTGCCTTAGACCAGAAAATGTTACTTGAGGATGTGATTTTTTCTACGGAAAATAAGTACTAGAAGATACGTGCAGCATCAGAAACTAGAAAGAAAGTAGGCTGACTTCTCCCTTTGGAATGTGACTGTCAGTTACACTGGGAGCTACAGCTTTGTCTGCTATCAGACAAGGGCTCCTTTCATGGCCTTGCACCCCAGTAGTAATTGCCTTGAAATCTTAGTAATAATTTCTGCAGGTGCCACATCGGGAAGTTACACCAAGTTTAACCTTATCTGACTGGATCTGGCTGCCATGTTTCTGGTTATTATGGGGACTTTCCTGGTTGAAGCCTAGTGTAGCCAGAAGGAGTCTCCAAGTGGATCCAGACCCCACAGCTGCCCCGGGAGGACGATGATATTTGATCAAGTCAAACCCACTGATTCTTAACAGTTTCTTGTAGAACCAACCTGCATTCCCAGCTCTATTGAGAGTTCCTCCAGAATAAAATGATGACATTCCTTTTTTGTACTCCTCATGTGGGCAGATGACAGAATTAAGCATAAGGATTAATCTGACAAAATATTTATTTATGCAACATAAAACAGTCTGTCTTTTCCCGACTGATACAATATGCCATTTCTATCATAAGCCAAACTTAAAAAAAAAATTATAGGTAACATTTAATGCATTGCCTTAATACAACAAGGAGCACACGCAGGATTTCTCTTGGTTCTTTGATTGCAATTAATATATTTTTTCAACTTTAAAAATAATGTTTTCCCTTATAATTCACAGTTACAAACAGTTATAACTTTTCAAAAAAGGAAATTAACTCCCCTGAGAAACTAAATGAGGACATTTCTATCATCCAAAGTTTGGGCTACCGAAACCGTGTCAAAAGACTTCGACAGAGTGAACCTGAAAATCCTACCTTGGTAAAGCCATTTTTGTTTATTCTGGTAACATCTCTTTGTTGAGCATTGTGAATTAGTGAATGTGCTAGATGCTCATGGATTTTTATAAAAAGTCAGTAAGCAAGGTAAGATGGTAAGTGGTTGGACAAGTGTTCTAATGAACAAGAGTTAGAGGAGTTGAGAGAATGTCCGTGAACTTAGTGTGGCTGAAAGACCTTTCAGGCCCTTTCTTTGCTTTAGTGCTTCATCCATTCCGAGGCTTGTCTAAAATAGCCACAAGGTCACTGATGGTTTTGAGCGTGCTAGTTTTTAAAATAACCACCTTATGGCAATTCTCCAGGCATGAGGAAGTATCTTCTATTTTATTTTCTCTGTAAAGTTGCCTGAAAAGAAAATTAGTTTTAACTTTTGAAAATTGCTTCAACTTAAAAAGTGTAATTATTTAAAAAACAAAATGCAGTGATTTGCTCTGTTGTTATTCATATGTGAATGAATAATGGCGATCTCAATAATAGTTTTTATGGTACCAAGATTCATTTTTCAGTAGATGTTAAAGGGCTCAAAAAGAAGAAGGAAAGCTTCATTGGAGTAATATTGGGTTTTTAAATATTCTTGATTGTACTGAATGTTTGTAGGATTGCTGAATTTTTATTATTTTCATTTATCCTTTTTAAAAAAATTTTATTTTATCTTAGTTGCAAACCCTGTTATCGTATGTGCTTGGAAATGTATACTAAACGAATCATTCCCTTTCTATAATATAAAGTATTAGTTTCAAAATATACTTTTCTTATGCTTCAAAAAACTACATAGACAATACATATTTCATTTAGAAATAATCAAAACAACAGAGAAAAAATATTCAAACCACACATAACTTATACATTTTGGTGTGTAGTTTACCAAGTGCTTTTTCCAGGTATGATAAATTGTAGCTAATTGGTTATGGTCTATTTGTTTTGTCTGTGGCCTCAAGTTTCTCTTAGTGGAAAAAAAAATCAAAGTACTCACCAATAATTAGTTGATCATTGTTTACTGCTTAGCAGGAAACGCGTCTTAATGTCCAGCTCTCTAACCTTGAAATTGTGAGATCACTGAGGACAAAGCAACAGATACAACCTCAGAAGAAGTCTGTCTACATTGAATTGGGTAAGAGTTTCAGATTTTGTAAGTTCAGAATAATAGCTGCTGGATTCTTTATCTTACAGTTTTACTAAAAACCTTGGTCATAATTTACACAGTGGAAGGTAACTTTGGAAAGTGAAAATAAAATAATTTTACTAGCCTTATGGTGTGTTTATAAGTAATGTAAAAGATGCGGCTCACATCTTGAAGAACCTCACTTTATAAAGAGCAAAAGAAGGATGTTGAGTTATGTGTAAATATATAGCAGGTCCTCAAATAATGTCATTTCTTTCCGTGTTGTCTCATTATAACGTTGATGCAATGCTGTAGGAACTTAACTCTCATTTATATCAATTACTCTTATAATAAAATTGGTTTCGTTATACCGTATTTCCCCATGTATAAGACGCACCCTTTCCCGAAACATTTGAGGTCTAAAAACTGGGTGTGTCTTATACAATGGTTGTAGGTTTGTTTGTTTTTTACTTGCATTTCCCGCTTTTTTCACGCTTGTTTTTGCACTCATACAACCACTATATAAGATGCACCCAGCTTTTAGACCCCAAATTTTTCGAAAAAGGGTGCATCTTATACATGGGGAAATACGGTACGTCGTTTGGCTTAAAGTCACAAAACCTATTGATGACATTAAGTGAGGACTTCCTATACTTTGGAAAGATGGAGAATAGGTATAAGAACATGATGGGTTGGCTACAGCATTTGGAAAGATCCAAGACAAATTGTAATAGACTAGGAAGATTTTTTAGGAAAGCTGAACTCAATTCAGACTGTTTTCTCTAATTGTCTTATCTTTTAGAATATATTTATAAGTGGAGAAAGTGGCCCTTCCTTGCGCTCCCAAGCACCACCATAAATTTACCATAGCACTTAACCACATTCTCTTGAAATTACTTGTATGTCTTTTGCCCCTTTTAAAATCGTAAATTCCTAGACAACAGATGTTGTGTCATAAAAATAACCAAAATAATTATAATAGCAAATATTTAAGAGCACTTAGTGTAGTCCAGGCACTGTTGTATTTTACTTATATAACATTTAAGATGCATGGCAAACCTCTAGGGTTGTTATTTTACTTATTTTACAGATGAGAAAATTGAGGCACAGAGGTTAAGAAATTTTGCCAAGGTAGTAAAGCTAGTTAGCGGTAGAGCTATGATTCAAACCTAGGGATTCTGGCTTCAGAGCCTGTGCTTATAAGTATCTCTCTGTATTGCCTGACATGTATCATTCATTGTGCCTGCCATGTAGTAGGTGCTCAGTAAATACTTCTTGAATGAATATCTGTTTTGCAAAAAAGTACATTTTTTGAGTTTAACTCTTTGAATAAAAATCCTTTGATTGACTTGTTATTTGGTGAATTTTTTTAGGATCCGATTCTTCTGAAGATACAGTTAAAGAAAATTATTTCAGGTGAGTCAAAGAGAGCCTTTGTCTATGAAGCTGCATTTTTGTATTTAGTTAATATTAAGGATTAATATTTCTTTAGAATTACAGCATTGGAATAGACCATCTACTTTTATCCCATTTTATAGCTGAGAAGATACCCTTTTTGTTTGTTTGAGTCCAAAAGAGTTTAAAATAACATAACTGTACAGACTCGCTTCCAGCAGAGGGTTCTGCTCTGTTCTAGCTTAGATCCTCATGTACAGTAGTATTGACACAGTGGTGATTGTGACTGATGGAAATATCAGAGGACTCCATTTTTAATTCCTTCCTCTGTTCCTTAATTCCATCTATCCCTCCAACATTGTTTACATAAATTATACAATTTACAAGCAGCCCGCAACTGTGTTACCTGTCAAATTGCTTTCGTTAGGAATTATTGCTTGACCTTCATATCTGTGATGGCTTGTCTGAACTATGATGGTGTCATTGCCAATCAGATTTTATTTACAGATGACTTTTTTCTAATCTCTCAATTGAGAGGAAATGGATTTTAGCCTGAAAAGAAGCACAGAAGGCAGAGTTACAGAATGGTGCGTTCTTTGCAATCCATTGGGATGTCTGCTCCATCCTAGTACTCCCTTTGTTTCGATCCTTGTTCTTGCATTCTCATGAAGATATACTTTTAAGTTTTGTGGTTTTTTACTTTACTGTTTTTTGGCTATTTGTCATTTAAGTGAGCTATCACGTAAGTTTTGATTCTCATTTGCATGTCCCTAAAGCAGTGTTCTGCACTCCTCTGATTTTTCTGACTGTGTGTCCTTAGTCTTTTGCCATTCTGTTTTGACTAGAAGTTACTAAAGGAGAGGGCACGTTTTAAAAAGTGAGTCAAATTGATCAACTTATTGCAACCCTTCCTAGAGAAACTAAAATACCTGATCTTGCCCAGTTGACAACTCTTGAAGCAAATAACTAGTGTTTCTCATTAAGGCTTCTGTCTTTTCTCTATAGTGTGAGAGATCACGAATTACAAATCACCCCTCAAGGAGCCAGGGCTGAAGCCAGTTTGAATCCTGCAAAAAAGGATAATGGCAAGTCTTCCCAACATAACAGGCACTGAAAAGAGAATGGGTGGATACAATACTGTAATTAGATTATTCTGAAGACCATTTGGGACATTTATAATTCACAGCATTTCTTGGCAGAGTTAGAGTATTGTTCTTTCTCAGTTATTATGGTATACAGCCTGATCTATTTCAAAGGCACTAGACTGATGTGATTATAATAGTATGCTATGGGGCCGGCTGAGTCGCGCATTGGTTGGGAGTTGACTTGGGACGCAGGCTCTGGATGGCGGAGCCCCGGTTCGGGTCCCAGGTGAGGGCCGGTGACGCTGCGCCCTCTATAGCCGAGGTAGTGGGCAGCAGCTCAACCTGTAGCTGGCCTGCAGTGGGTCGCAGGCAATGGCGTGGGCTGCGGTGGGGCTGGCTGGCAGCAGGCGTGAGCAGGTGTGAGCTGCCTGAGTGGCTGTCCAATGGCCGGTGAGCAACTGCCTCACCTGGGAAGAGTGCAATGATAATACCAACATGGGCCAGTAAAGCGACGCCCTGTACAACTAGACTGAAGAACAAAAGGGCAGCAACTTGTCTGTTCCCCTTCCCCGATTCCTCAACACTGTTCCCTTCCCCCAATTCCCCAATTTAAAAAAAAAAAAAGGCAAAGAGTAACTGTATGGTTAAAAAAAAAAAAGATAGTACGCTATGTAACTGGTTGTTGACTTTTACATTTAATTGATGTGTTTGTATTTCATCTATTGCATACTGATATTTAAATATAGGAAGTATGTGTCTGAAGATAGAACAAAGCACTATGTGTCTGATGCTCAAACAGCCTGCTTTCAAATCACTGTTAGAGATTAGGGAAATAGGTGTGATTTTTGAGTAGGGGAATTCTGAAATTAAAATTTCAATTATCTTGAGTGGAACTAGTGTGAATCTAGATAAATAGGAACTAAGTAAAAGAGTATGAGCTACAGCTTTAGTATACTTGGTTGTTTAAGAGGTTAGTTTCTCTAAACTATTGTTTCTCTAAACTATGCCGGTTATTTCCACCCCAAGTTGTATTAAGTACATACTTTTTCATTATAAGTCAGTTAATCATCTGTTGTTTTTGTATACTTTCAGCTGCTTGTGAGTTTTCTGAGGCCATAACAAATATTAAGCATCATGAATCCAGTAATAAAGATTTGACCACCACAGAGAAGCATGCAACTGAGAAGCATCCAGAAAAGTATCAGGGTATTTCTGTTTCAAACTTGCATGTGGAGCCATGTGGCACAAATACTCATGCCAGCTCATTACAGCATGAGAACAGCAGCTTATTACTCACTGAAGACAGAATGAATGTAGAAAAGGCTGAATTCTGTAATAAAAGCAAGCAGCCTGACTTAGCAAGGAGCCAACAGAGCAGATGGGCTGAAAGTAAGGAAACATGTAATGATAGGCACTCTCCCAGCACAGAGAAAAAGGTAGTTCTGAATACTGATCCCCTGAATGGGAGAAAAGAACTGAATAAGCAGAAAGCTCCATGCTCTGACAGTCCTAGGGATTCCCAAGATGTTCCATGGATAACACGGAATAGTAGCATACAGAAAGTTAATGAGTGGTTTTCCAGACGTGATGAAATACTAACTTCTCATAGCTCACGTGATGGGAGAGCTGAATCAAATACAGAAGTAGATGGTGCAGTAGAAGTTCCAAATGAAGTAGATGGCTATTCTGGTTCTTCAGAGGAAATAGCCTTAATGACCAGTGATCCTCATGATGCTGTAATATGTGAAAGTGAAAGAGTCCACTCCAAACCAGTGGAAAATACTATTGAAGATAAAATATTTGGGAAAACCTATCGGAGGAAGGCAAGCCTCCCTAACTTCAGCCACATAACTGAAAACATAATTATAGGAGCATCTGCTATAGAACCTCAGATAACACAAGAGTGCGCCCTCACAAACAAACTAAGGCGTAAGAGGAGAACTACATCAGGCCTTCGTCCTGAGGATTTTATCAAGAAAGTAGATGTGACAGTTGTTCAGAAGACTGCTGAAAAGATAATTGAGAGAACTGACCAAACAGAGCAGAATGGTCATGTGATGAACATTACTAATAATGGTCATGGGAATGAAACAAAAGGTGATAATGTTCAGAAAGAGGATAATGCTAACCCGACAGAATCATTGGAAAAAGAATCTGCTTTCAGAACTAAAGCTGAACCTATAAGCAGTATAAGCAATATGGAACTAGAATTAAATATCCACAGTTCAAAAGCACCTAAGAAGAATAGGCTGAGGAGGAAGTCCTCTACCAGATTTATTCATGCACTTGAACTAGTAGTCAGTAGAAATCCACACCCACCTAATCATACTGAGCTACAAATTGATAGTAGTTCTAGCAGTGAAGAGGTGAAGAAAAAAATTTCTGACCAAATGCCAGTCAAACACAGCAAAGATCTTGATCTCGTGGAAGGTAAAGAACCTGCAACTGGAGTTAAGAAGAGTAACAAGCCAGATGAACAAATAAATAAAAGACGTACCAGTAATGCTTTTCCAGAACTAAATTTAACAAATATTCCTGGTATATTTAACGGTTCAAGTTCAAATAAACTTCAAGAGTTTGTTAATCCTAGCCTTCAAAGAGAAGAAGTAGAAGAGAACCTAGGAACAATTCAAGTGTCTAATAGTACCAAAGACCTCAAAGATCTGATATTAAGTGAAGGAAGAGGTTTGCAAATTGATCAATCTATGGAAAGTACCAGTATTTTATTGGTACCTGATACTGATGATGGCACTCAGGATAGTATGTCATTACTGGAACCTGACACCCCAGGAAAGGCAAAAACAGCACCAAATCAACATGCGGGTATATGTACAGCAGTTGAAAACCCCAAGGACCTTATCCATGGTTGTTCTAATGATACTAGAAATGACACAGAGGGCTTTAATAAGGATTCATTGAGATGTGAAGTTAACGACACTCAGGAGACAAGCATAGAAATGGAAGAGAGTGAACTTGATACACAGTATTTACAGAAAACATTCAAGGTTTCAAAGCGTCAATCATTTGCTCTGTTTTCAAATCCAGGAAATTCAGAAAAGGAATGTGCAACAGTCCATTCCAGGTCCTTAAGGAAACAAAGTGAAAAAGTCACTCTTCAATGTGGACCAAAAGAAGAAAATCAGGGGAGGAAAGATTCTAAAATCAAGCTTGTACAGGCAGTTCATACAACTGCAGGCTCTCCGGTGGTTTGTGAGAAAGACGAAAATCCAGATTATGCCAAATACAGCAGAAAAGGAGTCTCTAGGCTTTGTCAGTCATCTCTGTTCAAAGGCAACAAAACTGAACTCACTATTGCAAATAAACATGGAATTTCTCAAAACCCATATAATATACCACATATTTCTCCTGCCAGGTCATCTGCTAAAGCTATATGTAAGGAAAACTTGGGGCAATATCCATTGTCACCTGAGACAGCAATAGGAAATGACAGCACCATTCAAAGTACAGTGAGCACAATTAACCAAAATAACATTAGAGAAAGCACTTTTAAAGAAGGCAGCTCAAGCAATATTTATGAAGCAGATTCCAGTACTAATGAAGTAGGCTCCAGTATCAATGAAGTAGGTTCCAGTGGTGAAAACATTCAAGCAGAACTCATTAACAGAGGACCGAAATTAAATGCTGTGCTCAGATTAGGTCTCATGCAACCTGAAGTCTATAAGCAAAGCCTTCCTGTAAGTAATTGTCAACATCCAGAAATAAAAAGGCAGGAAGAAAATGAAGGAGTAGTTCAGGCTGTTATTGCAGACTTCTCTCCATGTCAAATTTCAGATAACCTAGAACAACCTACGGGAAGTAGTCATGCTTCTCAGGTTTGTCCTGAGACACCGGATGACCTGTTAAGTGATAATGAAATAAAGGAAAATGGCAGCTTTACTGAAAGTGACATTAAGGAAAGATCTGCTGTTTTTAGCAAAAGTGTCCGGACAGGAGAATTCAGAAGGAGCCCTAGCCCCTTAGCTTATACACGTTTGGCTCAGGGTCACCAAAGACGGGCCAGGAAATTAGAGTCCTCAGAAGAGGACACGTCTAGTGAGGATGAAGAACTCCCTTGCTTCCAACACTTACTATTTGGTAAAGTAAGCAGTATACTGCCTCCATCTACCAGACTTAACGCTGTTGCCACAGAGGATCTGTCTAAGAATACAGAGGAGAGCCTAGCATCATTGAAGAATAGCTTAAATAACTGCAGTAACCAGGTAACATCAGCAAAGGCATCCCAGGAGCATCACCTGCTTGAGGAGGCGAGATGTTCTAGTAGCTTATTTTCCTCACAGTGCAGTGCATCGGGAGACTTGATTGCTAACACAAATGCTCGGGATCCTTTCTTGTTTTGTCCTTCCAAACACGTGAGGCATCAGTCTGAAAACAAGGAAGTTCTGAGTGACAAGGAATTGATTTCTGATGATGATGAAAGGGAAACTGGCCTGCAAGAGTGTAATGAGGAAGAGCAGAGTGTGGATTCAAACTTAGGTATGGGAGCCATCTGTTTTATAGAAGTGAGCTAAACGTTTATGCCTTTGGGGAAGCACATTTTAGGAATTTCCAAGTACAATTAAAGTAACTGCTTCTTAAACTTTAAGCATGTTCCTCCTAAGGTGCTTTTCCTTAAAATTCCTTCACCTAGCTGGAACGTCTCTATTGGAATGAGATTTAATTCCCCAGTTATTGGTGGACTTGCTTCTGGTTTTGTTAGGATTTCTAGAGAAAATCTGGGTGTCCCAAAACAAGGCTTGTAATCATTTTGTGTGACATGAAAGTGATATTTGTCCTGCCCCTGGGAAGAATCAGATACAGCAAGTTGCAGTATTTGCTGTCTATTTTTACATGCAAACCTCTATTTTTATTATCATTTAAGATGATGCAGCACCTGAGTATGAGCGTGAAGCCTGCCTCTCTGAAGATGGTTCAGAGCTGTCCTCTCAGAATGTTATTTTAACCACTCAGGTAAAAAGCATGTGTGTGTGTGTGTGTGTGTGTGTGTGTGTGTGTGTTATCCTCTACATTCAGTAGCATGCGTCCTGCATTCTTATTTATTTATTTTTTTAAATTTTTATTGGGGAACAGTGTGTTTTTCCAGGACCCATCAGCTCCAAGTCAAGTAGTTGTTTCAATCTAGTTGTGGAGGGTGCAACTCAGTGGCCCATGTGGGGATCCAACCGGCAACCTTGGTGTTATGAGCACCACGCTCTAACCAACTGAGCTAACCGGCAACCCCCACGTTCTGCATTCTTACATTTACCTATATCATCCCATAGAATCAATGGTATAACAGTTGTGTGTGGTACCTTGTCTCTCAAATTAGATTGTAATCAACTGGATAGACTCATGCATGAACTGGTGCTACCTTTTATTTTACACACACACACCCACGCACCACCTAGCTCACTGCAGAACACTAAATACTGAATTTAATAAATAAGCTAACCCTTCAAAACCCATACCCCATGTAGCAGAAACGTATGAAAGCACTACTGTATCAAAGGAGGGTCACGTGTTCCATTTCAGTATACTAATGCATTAGCAGTACAAATGAAGTAGTGAGGAACCATCTTCCTGATAGGCGATGTATTGTTGATGGAGACTTCCAAAGGAGACATTGGAGTTGGGCCTTGAAAGATGAGAAGAATTTTTCCAGGTGGCAAGAGAAAGGCAGCGACTGAGGCCAAGGCTCAGAGGCATGAAATGCCCAGGAAGCACAAAGTTTTCTTGTGTGAGGAGAAAACGGCATATGAGTGGTTTGGGAGAAAAATAAGATCAATGTATAAAGGGCCTTTTGAATGCTATACTTGGGAACTTGGACTTTACCCTGAGGGCAATAATGAGTAATAATTACATAGCTTCAGAAAGTATTAACTTATCTGAGCAGTGGTATAACCACTAAGTTCCTTATGGAAGAAAGAGACATGATAAACATGGCTTTTAAGGAACGTCCACAGTAGATAGCTGTATTAAAAGTAGAACTCAGAGTAGTATAGTGGGAAATAGAAGAGTAGGACTAATTTGAGAAACACTTAAGAATGAGAATTAAGAAAACCTGGTAACCAATTTGGTTTTGGCCTTCCAAATGTATCCGGCCACTTGCCTACAGGGAAAACCCAAAAGAAAGCTATCGAACTATAGTTCTCCCATTACTATTTTTTCTGATTTTCTAATCTAGTTCAGGGCCATATAGAGGTTACACTTGATGGCCGTGACAGTGACTAGAGTACAGCTTCTGAAGCATATGGATAGCTGTGTGGTTTCATTCCAGATTTATTGAGGCAAGCCCTCTTTGATCAGTGATGGAACTACTCACAGGCACCACGTGGTGGCAATGGCGCTGCTGGCTATGACATTGGCAGCAAAACAGTCTCAGGGTAGCAGTGTAAGCCTTTGTGAAGCTGGGAATACATTTTCTGGCCATAAAAACCTGAAAGCTATGAACTCAGTGTAGCAGAAGAAAGTAGATGGCTAGTTTTTAGTAAAGGGCAAAGTCATTTTCAAGGATCCTAAGAAGACACGGAGGGTGAAACAATTTGTGTTTCCCTGGGGTTTGCTGGCACCCATTGATGTTCCTTCTGAAAGTAATAAAGAAATGTGTATTTTGGAAATCTTACTTACCAAATGTACTTGGCTTATCAAAAACCTTAGACTTAGCAGATTTCTTTTTGAAATGGAAAAATAAATATCAGAAGTCCCACAAGCAAGAAGAGCCCCATATTCTTGAATTGAAAACAATAATGGTCCTTCCAGGCTTTCCTGGGGCTCTTTCTGTTGGATCCTTCCCTCCAACAGGTCCTCTGTGAAGTTCTCAAGGTACCCTGACCCCATCTAGAATGGCAGCACCATGAGGGCAATATCCCCAGCCCTAGGACAGTGCCGGACATATAATAGATGGTCAACAAATAGTTATTGAATGAACAAGTACATAAATTCATGAATTCATGAATTAGCTCTGTTCTTTATGTTAGAATCTAAATGTCCAAAGAATCCCAGAAAAAGAAGACTCCTCACAAGCCAGAAATCACATTTTTATATGGACTAACTCAAATCTCTTAGGAGTCTCACATTACCAAATCTTTGAAATACAGCCTATGTAAAATGTTAACAGAGCCAATTAATTTTAAATATCAAAGTGTTTAAGCACCTTAATGATTCTTTTACCCCCAAGCTTTGAAAGAAAATAACCAACTTCAAAAGGACATCACAGTAAAGCAAGCCTATTTGGGAGAGTTTGAGGGATTTTTTTTTACTCTAACATTTTCTGAAATAATTTCATGGGCATTAATTGCACAAACATGGTTGGATTAAAACGTGTTCAGCCAGAACTCGTAATTCCATACTCGGTGATTTTAATTCCCATGCTAAAATTAATTGGTGTGGCATATTCTTACATTCTGGCAAGTTTCGAAAAGAGCATAACTTTCTCAGTGTCACTTTTTGTATTTGCAGCAGAAGGATACCATGCAAGATAACCTGATAAAGCTCCAGCAGGAAATGGCCGAACTGGAAGCGGTGTTAGAGCAGCATGGGAGTCAGACTTCTAACAGCTCCCCTTCCATCATAGCTGATTCTTGTGCCTCAGAGGACTTGCTAAATCCGGAACAAAACATGTCAGAAAAAGGTTTGTAATGTTGACCAAATTATTCTTAAGCAAAATTCTTCCCTTTCCTAAGCCTTTATCTCCTGAAAAATGTGGACTTAGTGTCAACATTTTATGATCTGTGCTCAGCATATATTTGCTGAGTCACTCTGTGGGTAATTTTAGAGCCTTCGTTCTAGTTCCTGCTCACAACTAATTTAGCATTCAGAGGGACCAAGACAGTCATTAAGTGTCATTGACTGAGTACCCACAATGAGGAGATGCTATGGGGAACACATAGGAAGTTGAGTATAGTGGGGGAGATTAGAAATAGGTAACCGCATCATTTTAGAAAGCTTAGAAAAAAAACACTCAGACATACTCTCATAACAAAGGTATCTGATCACAAAATCCTATTTCATCTGCTTTCTGGTTTATAGAAAGAGATGCCCTATTCTTCAGGAACTGTATGTTGATCCACACAAAGCTCAATTATGTGTCAGAGTCAGGTGGTTTATCACAACATTATAATTGTCAACAAGGACCTCTGAGATGAGGCATTTGGCCTAACCAGGCAGGTGGAGTTGATCAGAGCTGACTTCTAAAAGAAGCTCATGCTGAGCTGAGGAATAATGTGGCATAAATGAAGGAAAGGAAAGTGAGATTTTGAGTATTTATTTGAAAAGAGTACATCAGGCAGGTTTTTTAATAAGGGCAAATACTTAGACACGTAGATGAGAGGCTAGGCACAGGCATGGGTTCCGGAGGGGGTGCTGGCAGGTGTGGGGAGCCCTCCCAAAGTGTTTCCACTACTGTCTCTGATACCTACCCAACGAACTTAGTGTTAAGTTCCTTCTTCATCATTTCCTTCTCTAGCCCTACTGGGGACCATGGGGCCTGCCTTTGAGTCTTTCTAGGAACTCAAAACTTAATGATTCAGAATTGTGGCCTTGATCCAGGAGTGTGCCTTGCAGTATTTTTATGTTCAGAGAGAAACACTACTGGCTCATGCATGAGAAGCTAGGAACTCTGTTGCTATGGCAGTGGTTCAAATGTATTTCCTTAAATGCTTTCTTTGTAACTGTGTTTTCATTTAGTTCCTCTCCCAGATAATGAAACCCAAAGTCTATTCCCCAGTACAGTTCTCTTCTTTGAGGTGCTTTCATCATCTTCAGTCTAAAAGCAGACTAGACTTTCAATTTTTTTTTAGACATTCAATTTTAATGCACAACTTATAAAATGTTATTGTCTGGCTTTGAATCTCTGTAAATCTATCTTATCTTTAGGGGTGGGTTGTTTATTTTTTCCTGAAGATCTGTAGACAAAATGTTTCTTTGTGGCTTTTTTTTTTTCAATTTCATCAATGTTATGTTTTTATACATTCTATTTTACTACGGATTTGAAAACCTTTTAGAAAATTTCTTCTGAACCTCTATATAAAACACTTTTGTTAGTAGGTTTTACTTGATCCTTTGGAGTAAACTTATTCATTGTTCTAGGGTCTTTGCATTATGAAATGTCCTGCTCTCAGCATAAACCTGTCCTATTGTTTGTCTAAGGGTCATTCCCAATGCTGTGTACTATTTTTGTGTAAATGTGTATATTACCTATTATAAATTATGTGTACCTCCCTCTGCAGGTAAAGCTGTTTCATATCAGGCACTTTGCCAGTTTTCTTCTCCTGGATTACCTGTCATTCATAAGGCAAACATTAGCCATGTATAAGATCATTGCCCATTACAGCGGAAGTGATTTTCAGACACATCGGAGCTTTTTTGTCCTGTAGGACGTTCAATCCTGGAAGCACTTGTTAAAAATTCCTAGCCTCCTCCTCTGGAAATTCTGAATCAGCTGGGTAGATGGGTTATGTGCTTTTTAAAGCTGAACTTCATTATGGGTTCCGTATTTTATAGTTTATTATTTCTTAATATCTCTTTTCTTCCTCCCCAAATGTCTTTTCCTTTGATTCTCCCAGTATTTTGCACAGTGCTTAGCACATAATAGGCAGCAAGCAAATTTATTAAATGTTTGGTTTGGCCCATATTCCCTACCCATGAAGAATATAACTTGTTAAGACCCCCAGATGAGGGAATGATTTAAGGGGGATTATAGTATTGTCTCAGTACCTGGGCTCTGGATCCCTGCATTTATTATATAAGAATTAAGGAAAAAGAAAAAGGTTTTGCCCTGTGTTTTTTTAGGTACTGTTAACTTATTGAATTACAGCTCAGATTAGCTTATTTTCTTCTTAGCTTTGTAGTGAAAAGTGGAACTCATACACTATATGTTCAGGCAATGGAATAACTTTTTAATATCTGTGTTTGCATCTGAGACTTCCCCCCATGCTTTCACTTTTTTTTTTCCTGTAACCCTTTCTAATGGTTAATTCTGTTTGGTGTGATTCCTTAGAGACTGCTTATAACCTCTTCCCAATTAACACCTTATATCTGGGGGAAATGATACCTTTATTAAAAAAGCTTTACATACCCAGTTGAAAGAAAAACCTGCATGGTTAGTCTTAGACTGCTTACTTTCAGCAGCTGGTAGCTCCAGGCAGAGTTCTTCCGTTCCTAGAAACTCACAGTTCCAGAAAAGATGAGCACAAAGAAAACTATAAATAATGCATTTGAGGATTAACTCAGGAAATCAATGATTATTTCCCCCCAGGCTACCCAGTGTCTTAAAAAACAGTGTAATTAATACAGCCCTTTGTTTAAAATTTTTGGCCACAATTTATGGATTTTAGCTTTTCTGATAAAAGCTCAAAATAAATTACAGTTGTCTGTGACTTTTTAATGAATAGAAGACAATTCAATGTTTAAGTATTTGTTTTTGCCTTTTAAATATTTCTGCCTTTAAGCTACTTAAGCAGTGGTACAATAATACATTCAGAGGAATTAATAAATAAAAAGGATGTACTAACATGCCAGAACTTGGCCTTGGGTCTGTTTGTGTTTTTGTTCTCTCTTGTACCATTTCACCATTAGTTCCATGTATTACTTCAGGGTTCCTTATTAGTCGGCACCTTGGTTTTTTTATGTGTATTGGTTTTTTGATTTGTTTGTTTTTTCTTAGTAATTGAAAATGTGAAGCAAAATGTCACCTCTTTTTTCTTTCTTACCTAACCTCTCTCCCCTTGTTTTCCCCACACATGAAAAAGCTCAAACCCCTATTTAATACAGTTTTTGATATGGAGGCAGTAGGGATGGAAAAGGCAGTGTGCTTTGTGCTTCCCAGGACTTCCTCCTCCCTGTCATCTAAGGGGATTTGAGTATAATTTAGTTTGCTGTAGAGATTTAAAAAATCACTTTCTATTCTTGTTTCCTTATCACTTAGGGCCAAAACTTATATATACATGATTTTTTCAGCCTTGTCTCAGTTGGGTATCTTTATTTACCCAGTCTTAAAGTGTTCCTATTATATATTTTTTAGTTCCATTTGGTGCTGGATCACTTGTGTTTATAAAATTCTGTCTGATGTACTTGCTTAAAAACCAATTTGATTGTCACAGATTGCTGCCGGGTTTTTTTTTTGTTGTTATTTTTAAGATTTTATTGGGGAATCGGGGAAGAGGAACAGATAAGTTGCTGTCCTTCTGCTCTTCAGTTTAGCTGTGGAGGACACCGCTTCACTGGCCCATGTTGGTATTATCATTGCGTTCTTCCCGGGTGAGGCAGTCACTTGCCGGCCACTGGACGGCAGCTCATGAAAGCTCATGCCAGCTGCTGGCCAGCCCCACTGCAGCCTCTACCGTTGCTGGAAACTCACGGCAGCCCAGCTCCAGGTCGAGCTGTTGTTCACCATCTTAGCTGTAGAGGGCACAGCATCACTGGCCCTAATGTGGGATCCCAACCGGGGCCCTGCTGCTCAGAGCTGGCGTCCCAAGCCAACTCTTAACCAACGCACCACTCGGCCAGCCTGCAGATTGCTGATTTTGAAGAAACTGATAATACCTGAATTATCATCAACAGGACAAAGCAATAAAGTCAATTTCTTTTTTTTTTTTCATTCCATTTACAGCAGTATTAACGTCAGAGAACAGTGGTAAACATCTTATTAGTCAGAATCCAGAAAGCCTTTTTGCAGACAAGTTTCAAGAATCTCTGGATAGTTCCACCAATAAAAGTAAAGAACCAGGAGTGGAAAGGTAAGAAGTAGTAAATGTCAAATCGTAATTTTTCTTATATTGAACTCTTTTTTTTTTTTTTAAGATTTTTATTGGGGAATTGGGGGTATGGGGACAGCTCTGGGGAATTGGTGAAGGGGAACAGACAAGTTGCTGTTGTTTTGTTCTTCAGTCTAGTTGTGGAGGACATTGCTTCACTGGCCCAAGTTGGCACCATCATTGCGCTCTTCCCGGGCGAGGCAGATCAGTCGCCGGCTTCTGGACCGCCGCTCACTGCGGCTGCTGGCCGCTCACGCTGGCTGCTGGCTACACACGGTAGCCCATGGCAACCCACTGCCACTGGGGCTGCAGCCTACGCCGTCGCCGGCGACTCACAGCATCCCAGCTCCAGGTTGAGCTGTTGTTCAGCATCTTAGCTGTGGAGGGCAGCGTCACTGGCCCTCATATGTGGGATCCGAACCAGGGCCCTCTGGCGTCCCAAGCCAGTTCTTAACCATCGCGCCACTCGGCCGGCCCTTATATTGAACTCTTATTGTTCAACATTTTTACCATACTTTCTCTAGTTTTTTGTACACGGTCGTTTCTAACCTCTCATTGCTCTTAAGACACTTTTCGTTTTAATTGTATAGAGGCTTTTTGGACCCGTACAAGGCACGAACTGCAACATGAGAAATGCCCAGTACATCTGTGCATCCTTCTGAGGGTCCGAATAAAGCCTAGAACTAAAACCTTGTAAACAAGTCTGGAGGCTGAGGGTAGAGTTCTCCAAGGCAGCCCTTGCCTTAATGGAAGTTTTTGCCTTTGTAGAAAAAGTTCAGCTATCGGTTCACCCCAAGAAATATTCACAAGATCTTTCAGGGTATCTATTTAAATCACTATTGAGATAAGACTGTATAGTACTTTCTGTTTTCAAAAGTACTTTACCTACTATCTCATTTGATGTTTACAACAACACTGAAGATAAAAGGACAAGTTTAGACTATGATTCCTATTTGATCCTTCAACAAAGAGTCTCAGCTGTTAGAGTCCCACATCTCACCACTCTAGGGAGAAAAAGGAAATCATATTTATTGAGTTTCTGCTGAGTATATGCATATTTTTACTTATAGTTTGGGGAATAATGACAGGTTGTCGATAATCTAATCACACCATCTTTTCCAAGCCTCTTGAACTGGACTATGGATTTTCTTTTCCCCTCCGCCTCTCATATCTCCCCTCCCTTCCCCCTTCCTCACCCCCACCTCCTAGCCATTGTCCTCAGTCTAGTTGTGGAGGACGCCGCTCACTGGCCCATATTGGTATTATGATCATTGCACGCTACCCGACTAAGGCAGTTGGTCCCCGGCCATTGGCTGGCAGCTTACGTCGGCTGCTCATACCTGCTGCTGGCAGCCCACACCTGCTGCCAGTGGCCCAACTCCAGGTCAAGCCATTGTTCACAGTCTTAGCTGTAGAGGGCACAGTATACTGGCGCTGCTTACTCACCCATGTGGGAATCGAACCGGCAGCCCTGTTGTTCAGGGCTCATGCTCTTACCAACTGAGCTATCCAGCCACCCTATGGATATATTTTTGAGGCTGGGGTACTGACACTGTGGCTGTGACGGAATTAAAAGACCTGGCCTCCATAGGCACTAAACCCATGTTTAGAGGTAATGACTTTGTTGCCATGCTTTAACTAATTGGGCTAACCACCCATTTAATATTCAGACCAAATATTACACCTCTTTCTCCTGCACCCCAGTGTACCCTAAGAGACTTCTGTTAAAGAACCTACATGTTGATTGAACTTCCTCCCTGTACTAGACTACTTGAGAAGAGCAATTTAGGTCTTGCTCGTTTTTCATCCACAGGGTCTAGTGTTAGTGCCTGACTTATAGTAAACACCCAGTAATTGTTTGAATTAAGTAGCTTATCTGTGTGATCCTTTAAATCTGTTCATAAGTATCTTATTCAACAAGGTCCTAAACACCCGAAAGAGTAGAGGAATTACTGCATATTCTCTTCTGATATTTTATAGCCGGCTTTTGTTTTTAGAATGATTTTGGACATTGAAAAGGCAGAAGCTATGGCTGTTTCTATGAATTTTGCTGAAGTTGGATAGAAAGAATGACTGTAGCAATGTCAAAATTAGTCAACTTTCTATTTTCATGAGAGATCTGATTCTAACACATCCATTGGAACTCAAGTGGAATAGTGCTATAGATTTGAATACTGGCAATGGATAATTTGCAGACATGCTTTTAAACAGCAAAGAGATACACTGCCTCAGACCAGACCCTAAGGGGAGATGTTCTACATCAACCCCGACATGTTGGCAGACATCATGAACCCAGGCTCCTAGGCTGTCACTTGGGTTCTTTTTGCTAGTCATTCCCAGTCTCTCTGATAATGAGCTGTTTCACGTATACTCTGGCTGCCCAGGAAGTATGATTAGTCCTTTCAGGAGCTGTGATGATGGTTTTCTCCTTTCATCTTTCTTTCTAGGTCTTTCCCTTCTCAATCCCAGTTGTTAGACAATGGGTGGCATGTGGGCAGCCACTTGCCAAGTCTTCAGAACGGAAACCGCCCGTCTCAAGTTACTGACGTGGAGGGGCAACAGCTGACACAGTCGGAGGCCCAGGATTTAACGGAGCGGTCTGATTTGCCAAAACAAGATCTAGGTAATGTTTCATCTTCTCTGACGGAGAAAACACTTTTATTTTACTCTGAATTTTACCTAAAGATATTCCGCTTAATTAACTTTAAGGTGTACTAATCTGTCAAATGCATCTGTTATACTTAAACCCATTTTTTAAAACATAGTTTGAATGTTAATCCAAGTTTACTTGAAAATTATTGCAGTTGTTAATCTACCTATATTGGTTTAACTCTTTAACAGTTTTGAGGATGAGAGAGTCTTGGTGTGCTCTAAATATTTTATTTCAACTTTTAGATAAGAGTTTTAGGGCGCTTGAATAAAGTTTTAGGCCTGCCTTTGTTGAAAAATGAGTCAGATCTCCAAAGTAAGCTCTTATATTACAAATTAATGAGTATAAATGACTATATATTTTATGCCTTATAAATCACTTTAAATGAATGATGTGTTTATGGCTTGTAAATCAAAGTTTTAATTAGTAAGGAAAGTTTTTAATTAATCCTCAAAACACATTGTCATAAAAGGTGCTCTTCCGCATCTAAATGTGGTATTTGGCCATTTTAATTAGGGTCATTTTAGGAAAATCTCATACATTCTACTAAGCTATGCTTGCTTGCTGATGGAGTGACATTTTCTGAAATGTTTTAGAGATGATTTCCTATTTTTAATTTGGTAATGATATCAGATGATTTATTAAGTGAAAACGGCAATGATATCATGGATGAAGAAACAAAATTTGAGTATTTCTCATTTTTCAACCTTTTTTAATACTTACTTAAGTGCTATATGTTCATTGCCAAACAGTTGGAGAATATAGGTCATAAAAAAGGAATATTTAAAGTAGATAAAATAAATAAGACCTTGCATTTAATGGGTTCTAAGATGCAAATTTTTTTCATGTTAAGATTCTGAAATAGAATAGCATCTTAAAATCAATGGCATTTTAAAATTTATTTTACTTTTAGATGCAATAAAAAACATAACATAAAATTTACCATCTTAACCATTTTTAACTGTTCAGTAATGTTACGTGTATTCCCACTGTTGTGCAACAGATCTCTAGAATTTGTTCATCTTGCAAAACTGAAACTACCCATTAAACAGCAATGCTCCGTTTCACCTCCTCCCCATTTCCCGCTCTTCCATTCCCTGGCAACCACCATTCTACTTTCTATGAGTTTGACTATTTTAGATAGCTCATATAAGTGGAATCATACAGTATTTGTTTTTTTGTAACTGACTTCTTTCACTTAGCATAATGTCCTCAGAGTTCATCCATGTTTGTAGCATGTGACAGGATTTTTTTTTAAGTTATTCAGTTTTTAAAAAGCTATTGTATGTATATACTATATTTTCTTTATCTATTCATCCGTTGAGAGACATTTGGATTGCTTCCATTTTTGGCTATTGTAAATAAAACTACAACGAACATGGGTGTGTGCATTTCTTCATTTTATTGTAATTAAATGTAATGGGTGAAGAGCACTCCATTGGAACGGACGGGCCATAGTTTATTTGGACGGGGCATAGTTTATTTAATCTACTATTAAACATTTAGGTTGTTTCTAAAGCTTTACTGATATAAACAATGTTGCTTTGAACACTCCTATGACTAAACTTTTGTATATATCTTTTACTTCCTTAGGATACATTTCTAAAACTTGACTTATTGACCGAAAGTGTAAACACCCAAGGCTTTTGGAATATAATGCCAAATTGTCCTTTAGAAAAGTTAAGCCACTTTGCACTTAGTGTACCCATTTTTTATCTTTATTTATTTATTTTTTTTAGCTGAGCCATCCCACCACCTGTTGGCAGCTCAGCGGCTGCTCAGCTTGGGCCGGGACTCGAACTGCTGTTGCTCAGAGCTCAAACTCTTGAGCGAGCTCTTAACCAACTGAGCCACTCAGCCGGCCCCTTAGTGTACCCATTTTTCTCTTAATCTAACAATCTATCTTTTTAATTCTTAGCACAGACTACACGTTATAATTCAATATTCATTGTCATGTAGATTAAACTTCTTCTCCCATCTCTTTCAGAGGGAACCCCTTACCTAGAATCTGAAATCAGCCTCTTCTCGGATGACCCTGAGTTTGATCCCTCTGAAGACAGAGCTCCAGAGCCGGCTCATGTTTGCAGCATGCCAACTTCAACCTCTGCCTTGAAATTACCCCAATTTCAAGTTGAAGAACCTGCCAAGAGTCCAGCTGCTGCTCATACTACTAATACTGCTGAATATAATGTGAGGGAGAAAAGCGTGAGCAGGGAGAAGCCAGAAGTGATATCTTCAGCACAAAGAGTCAACAAAAGAATATCTATGGTGGCATCAGGCTTGACCCCAAAAGAAATTGTGAGTGTATCCATCCATATGTATCTATCTCTCCCTAAGAACTGAGACTTCATTAATATATTGCAAATAGTTTTAAATAGGTACTAGCAATGAATAACCTATAGGAAGAAATTTAGGAAACAGGCACAATTCTATGTAATTTAACTTGCTATTAATGTCTGAAAATTTTGGACTTAGATAAAGCTATAGCATGAATTATTTTGAATATATTTACGAGGGGTGCTCATACAATATTGATGAATGTTTAAATTTTAAAAAATTATTACAGTAAAAGACACATTGCCTTAATCCCCCTCAAAACACTCCCCCTCTCTTTGAACACACTTATCCCATTGTTCTTGCCACTTTCTGAAGCAGTTCTGGAAGTCCTCTTTCATAAGTGTCTTTAATTGCACTGTCATGGCTGCCTCGATGTCCTGAATCATTTTGACTTTGGGGAAGAGCCCGAAGTTGCACGGTGCCAGATCCGGTGAATAAGGTGGATGAGGACACACTGTAATGTTTTTATTTGACAGAAATTGCCGTGTTGTGCCAGAAGTGATGTGTGACACGGAGTGTTGTCATGATGGAGGAGGATTTACGGTACACTTTAAAACACACCTCTCAACCGTAATTCAGATGCAAATGACTGCACCGAACAAGTTGAAACTTGTCACACACTGTTACTAAGGTTCGATGCGCTGCTTCCTGTATTGAAGATCCCTGCCTTTCCATTGGATGGCATTCGGCAGCAGCATTCACCATATTTTGTGATCACAACGGAAAGGCTCTGTGTCACACATCGCTTCTGGTCTGGCAGTGTCTGTCAAATAAAAACATTATGGGGCCGGCCGAGTGGCGCGATGGTTAAGAACTGGCTTGGGATGCCAGAGGGCCCCGGTTCGGATCCCACATATGAGGGCCAGTGACACTGCCCTCTTACAGCTAAGATGCTGAACAACAGCTCAACCTGGAGCTGGGCTGCCATGAGTCGCCGGCGACGGCGTAGGCTGCAGCCCCTGTGGCAGTGGGTTGCCATGGGCTACCGTATGTAGCCAGCAGCCAGCGTGAGCGGCCAGCAGCCGCAGTGAGCGGCCGTCCAGAAGCCGGCGACTGATCTGCCTCGCCGGAAAAGAGCGCAATGATGGTGCCAACTTGGGCCAGTGAAGCAACATCCTCCACAACTAGATTGAAGAACAAGACGACAGCTGAAGAACAAGAACTTGTCTGTTCCCCTTCCCCCAATTCCCCAGCACTGTTCCCATTCCCCCAAATCCCCCAATAAAAAATTTAAAAAAAAAAAAAAAAAAAACATTATGGTGTGTCCTTATTCACCAGATCTTGTACTGTGTGACTTCTGGCTCTTTCCCAAAGTCAAAATGACCATGAAAGGTAAACGTTTTGAATTGATTCAGGGCATCGCAGCAGCCACGATAGCACAAATAAAGACACTCACGAAAGAGGACTTCTAGAACTGCTTCAGAAAGTGGCAAGAACGATGGGATAACTGTGTTCAAAGCAAGGGGGAGTATTTTGAGAGGGATTAATGGCAATGTGTTTTAACTGTAATAAATTTTTTTTATTTAAACAGTCATCATATTTTTTTATCACACCTCATACTTAAAATATTAGCAGAGGTTAGTTTGGAGTATGATATAGAGCTGTGTTATTTTAATTTTATTCTTATCTAAAAAAGCAAGTAGGTGTATCTCTACTCCCCAGAAAGCATCTTGTCTTTCCCTACTGTGGTTCACATGTGAGAGAACATACCCGCATGATTAACTCAATTCAAACTGGTTCCAAGCACACTGCCAGATAATGGCATTTCTTCAGTGTATATTTGTCTTTATCCTGGCTTGTGACACAATCATTCAATAGCCTGTTCCATTATTTCTGCCCTACAACATCCCCTCTCCATTAGGATTTTAACATCTCCTTGTGCCCCTCATGCCAGCAACAGGAACTGTTTCACACTGTTGAAAAATACCCATTAAAATAGTAAGACCATTGAAGTCTTGTTTCTACTTGGGCTGACTGTAGATTTCAGACTCTTTTTTTTTAATTTAATTGGGGAACAGTGTGTTTTTCCAGGACCATCAGCTCCAAGTCAAGTAGTTGTTTCAATCTAGTTGTGGAGGGCGCAACTCATTGGCCCATGTGGGGGTCAAACCGGCAACCTTGGTGTTATGAGCACTGCGCTCTAACTAACTGAGCTAACCAACTGCCCCCAATTTCAGGCATCTTAGAAAATTTACCTCTCCTGTAATTAATCATCATTGGTATCACTTCATAATAAAATAATTGAGTGAATATTTTTTAAAGAACCATGATAAGATAACACACCAGAGTATCAAATGGATTCAGCAGTGGGTGTTATTTATTACATACTGAGAGATGACTCAGTCAGTCTTAAGTATCTTTCTTAATATATCCTTCCTGGGATAAGAACCATTTCTCATCTTAACTTCTTTATGGGTAGCAGCTTATCATACATAACATTCCCTGTGGCCAGATGTGCCCCACTACTAAAAGGACAAAGAAAGCTGTGTCTGCCCTAGTAGGTATAATGAATAAATTCTCATCAATAATGCTGGATTTCTCATTTCACAACCAGGTTCCCAGACCAGCTATTTGCTCTGAAAATTCGTACCTGTGTCTGTTTATATTTCTCTTGATCATTTGCTTACATGTCTAGCATTCCCATTTATTCATTGAAAATTAGCATTCCTTCTTTTGTTTAGTGAGTTCAGCTTTTCAGAGAAGGCTAAAATGATCTAATCTTTCTTGCCATGGGCAATTCTGAGCTATAGATTAGACTATAAGTGGCTTGGGTACATATTGTCTTTAAACAAGCAAAGAGGAAAACTTCAGCTCTATTCAGACTTGCTGAAGTGTGGTAAATTTATTATGAAAGCTGCTGACTGTATTACACATGATTAATTCTGAAGCCCATATTAAGATGATCTTTTCAGCAGTTGCTCTTCCTAACTGAACACTGTTTCAAGGCTGGGATTTCAGCAATTAATCAGTTCAGAATTGCTAATGATCCTGGCAGAGGGCAGTGGCAAAGGGGGGAGGATGTCATTAGCTTCTCTAGATGCCTTTTTCAGTGCCCTGTGGCAGTGGGGAGTGAAGCAGCATGAAAGAAAGATAGCCAGAGCTGCAATATTGTGCAGCACATAAATATTGGCATGGGTGGCGATGGCTAATAAATGATGGTCCTTGGTAAACAGAGTTATTTACCAAACAGTAGCTACTAATTATGTCAACTGTGTCCTTAATGGATCTGGTTAATTTCTTTTATTGCCTATTGATTTTTATTTTGTTGACAGTAGTGAGAAGGCTCTAGATTTCTTTTGGGAACAATAGGAGTCTCTTCCAGTCCTTCTCCTTAAGAGCAATTGATAGTTTTTGGGCTCTTGATTTGAATATTTTGTAACTCTCAGAGGGAGAGGGTGTAATCTTATTTTTAAGCCACATACGCATATACATGTATATACGTTTCTGTATAGGCTAGTTACCTCTTGGCTCATATGGTATAGCCTGATATGTTGGGTTGTCGGAAAAGTCATGACGTATTTTGTCTATGTTTTTCGTTGCAAAAATGCGTCATGACTTTTCCGACAACCCAATATCTAAATTATGGTAGAGTATCACTCTACAAAAAATTAGTTATCTTAAGGAATCAAATGATATCTGCTATTAAAGGAGAAATTATTATTTTGCATCCTTGGTTGTAGTTCATGTCTCCTAGCATGGACTACTTTAGAATTTCTTCTGATTTGTACATAATTTGTGTTAAATTGCTATTTATTTTGAGGCTTCAGGCACATTAGAATAAAAAGGATTTTTTTTCTGAGAAAAATAGAGGATAACTAATAACAAAGCTAAACTAACTAATAACTAAGCTGTACGCTAGGAGGTAATTTACTATAATGTAAATTTGATTTGATTTCAGGCGCTTGTGCGCAAGTTTGCCAGAAAACACCACATCGTTTTAACTGATCTAATTACCGAAGAGACTACTCATGTCATTATGAAAACAGGTATGCCAAGAACCTTTATAGAATATGGTACATCTGTTGCATAAAACTACGTGAAGAAATGGGAATATTTGTTAAGCACAGCCTGGATGAAAATCTTCCAATAGTCAATCAATTACTAATTTATGACAGAAAAATAGTTTTGCTCCTTCCTCACCCCTTTTGTTTTGGGTTAAGATTTGGAGTGTGGTGAGCCAGGACGATGAACCACTTCTAGCCCACCCTACCTGGAGTAGTCTGTGTGAAGGGCTTTTTGTAACGCAGAGCCCAAGTCCTGGAGGAACAAGTGGGGCAAAAAGGAAAATGAGACAGAAGTGTGTCTTTATTCAAAATGTGGGTGGCTGGAAACCCTAGCTCCATGTGCATTCCATATCCTAGTCATTGAACACTAGTTTCAGTGTGGTTGAGAGTTTTTCAGGAAACAAGTCCAATGTCAGCTCCGAGGTAGCCTAGCATTTGAAAAAGAAAAAAGCCAAGGGGGGAATTCATTTGTCCTACACCTTCCCCTTTTTAAATCTTAATTGTGACTCCCGTGATAACAGAGACCTCAGAAGCTTTTGGTTGACTATAAGCTAAATCTGAGTAAACATTTCAGGGCTGCTGCAAAGCTCATTTGAAATTGGACCTCATTAATACAAGCCTCATGTCTGGAGTAAGTGAAGTAATGATCCTGACCCCCCACTTTATTCTCTGCTGGAGTGTCTGCCTGGAAGATAGATTGTTTTGTTTTGTTTGTTTGTTTATTTGCTATCACAAAGGTGTTTAGCTTATTTGGAAGATATGTTTTGAGCACCATGCTTTCTTTTTAAGCTGGTCACTGACATATTAAGTGTTTATCCAAAGGTAGATGATGAGGATGGAGAAAAGGAATTCAGAGCAGTGTCACTTGAAGAACAGCTGAAGGAATGAGAAGACTTAGGGGAACAAGACAACTGTCTTCAAATATTTGAAGAATTGTTATCTGGAAGAGGAGTTAGACTTACTCAGAGGCTCAAGGAAACAAAGACCAATGCATACAGAGCACAGCAGACACAGATTATAACTCGGCTCTTAAAAGCTTTCTAACAAAATGGACTCCCTGGAAACACAGTGGTCCACTCCAGGATGTTCCTGTTCACTGCAGGTCCTTGAGCAGAGGATCCAGACTCCTTGGCAGGGGTACATTGCCTTAGGACCTTTAAGATGTTAGGTTTCTACTGTATATAGATCGTATCACAGGGTCAGAGGAGAATACTCACAGGAACCAGGTGCCAGAACAAGGTACCTCAAACTAAATACTATTTTAGAGATGAATGTCATTAATGTTTAATATATCGTAAGCTTATAGGTTTGGATCAAAGCTGCTGGAAGGTGAAAAGGAAACTTTAAAATGTAAATCAAATTTAAAATAATTCAATCTTTAAACTCAAAGATAGTACAATGCTTTTGAACTAAAAATGAGTTAAAATTTGAGTTTAAAGCACATTATTAAATCATCTTTTGCAGCAGTTAAACAAAAAGCTATAAAATTGTGATAAAAGGGAAAAGATTTTTAATAATTTGTGAAGAATTCTATGAGGGAGAATGGCTGTTGCTGCTAGGATTTAGTTAAATACATTTCTCCTGTTTAAAACTAAGTGTTCTTTCCTCAATTTGCTTAGTTCTTCAAAGTAGTCTTTGAAATACCAGGAAATAAACAAAAGTGATTCTTCAGCTACTACTTTCTGAAATACTTATGTAGAAAGGAGAAAAGCTATGAGATTGCTCTGTATTTTCCTGTCCGCCTCAGGAGAATTAGGAATCAGGAGGTTAGGATTCCCCAGGTAGAAGTTCTGGGGGTGAAAATTTGTCACTTACATTGCCATTTCAGATACAGGATTTCAACAATACTGTTTTCTTCTCCTTCCCCATATTACCATCCAGTAAAAATGGATCTTCCCACCCACCGGTATCATTATTGTTGATGTGGATAATTCCTTGAACATAGCGTTGGATGTCTATAGCTAGTCTTGGCATCTAGAAGATAGGGCAGACATTTCCTCTGGTTTTAACTTCATATCGGCCTTTTCCAGGTGAAGACTGCTGGTTATCCAGCCTCTGATTCTATCACCAGGGGTGTTGGAATCATTGATCCAGATTGATTTTTAGTAGCATGTGGGCCTGGAGCGCTTTAGCTTCTTATGGCAGCACTTCCTGACTTTGTTTTCAACTTCTACTAATCGTTTGGATGTTTTTCATTCTGCAGATGTTGAGTTTGTATGTGAACGGACACTGAAATATTTTCTGGGAATTGCAGGAGGAAAATGGGTAGTTAGCTATTTCTGTAAGTATAATGTATTTCTCCCTTTAACACCTCAGAATTGCATTTTTACACCTAACATTTTAACACCCAAGGTTTTTGCTGATGCCAAATCTGAATTACCAAAAAGTCTTTAGTGATAACACTAAACTAGCTTTATCTTGAACGCATATCTCTTTGTTCAGGTAAGCTGGTGATGTTGGGAAAATGGATTTCTTTTTATAACTAATAGGACCTAATCTGCTCCTAGCAACGTTAGCATACAAACTGGGGATTTATTTAATAGTAGGCAGGAATCCATGTGCAGCAGGCACTTTTATGTTTCGATTGAGCATCATCTGTGTCTCCAGAAGGAAATTTCTGCTGCAAGCCTTATTAAAATGCTGGCTTTCTAGACAGGACCTCTACTCGGTGTTATTCCTCCTGTGTTGTCATGTGATCACTCCACCATCCACCTCCGTAAAAAGAGCCCATTCTTCTGTGTTGTGACCTGTCTTCTATGTGATCTCTTTAGGGGTGACCCAGTCTACGAAAGAAAGAAAGATTCTAGATGAGGTAGGTACTTTGTGTTTTATAAACTGATCAGAAAGACTTGGTGCCATTGAGTCACATAATCACCGAAAATTTAGCTGTTTCCTTCCTTGGACCACTTTCCATGGGTTTTCCTTGACGATGGGGATCATCAACAGTTATGCAGAGCAAACCCAGAAACTCTGTGTCCTCATTCATTTCTAAGTTTCAACAGAAATAATTCTTTCCTCAGAGGAAGGAAAAAATTTATAAAGCAGGAAAAAAGACTCATAAGCAAAAGAAATAGACCCACCTAAATCTTATATGCATACCCCTTTGCAGAGAACTGTTTGTTCACTGTTGTTGAAGAAAAATCCTTCATATTAATATGCAAATGTATCTGTTTAGAAATCAGATTCCTTCAAAGAGATATTACTCTTTATGATACTGAGAACAGTGAGAGGTAAATAAGATGAGTGTAGGAGAAGGAATAATTTTATTTATTTATTATTTTTTTTTTTTTTAAAGATTTTTATTGGGGAATTGGGGGGATGGGAACAGCACTGGGGAATTGGGGGAAGGGAACAGACAAGTTGCTGTCGTTTTGTTCTTCAGTCTAGTTGTGGAGGACGTTGCTTCACTGGCCCAAGTTGGCACCATCATTGCGCTCTTCCCGGGCGAGGCAGATCAGTCGCCGGCTTCTGGACGGCCGCTCACTGCAGCTGCTGGCCGCTCACGCTGGCTGCTGGCTACACACGGTAGCCCATGGCAACCCACTGCCACAGGGGCTGCAGCCTACGCCGTCGCCGGCGACCCACAGCAGCACAGCTCCAGGTTGAGCTGTTGTTCAGCATCTTAGCTGTAGAGGGCAGTGTCACTGGCCCTCATATGTGGGATCCGAACCGGGGCCCTCTGGCGTCCCAAGCCAGTTCTTAACCATCGTGCCACTCAGCCGGCCCAGGAATAATTTTAGAACAGAGCCATCTGAGAGCTGCTGATGACAACAGATCAGGCAATATAAAATTAACAAAAGCACTTTTAAGCTATTACGCACTATTTAGCATATTCATAATTGAAATTTTTATTGGATTTAACTTTCGTTCAGTGACTTATATTATTGGGAGCCTACTATGTGCTGGGTACCAAGAATACAGCAATAAGCAAAGCTGACAGGTCCCTGCTCTGGTGGGATTCTTGTTTTATTGAGGGGAAATACACAATAATAAAGATCACTTAAGATACCAATAAATACTATGAAGAAATATACAGAATAGCAGACTAGTAATTAACTGGGGACAGGGGTTGACTATTTTAGTTAAGGAGACCAGGATTGGCTTCCAATGCGTGAGCTGAGACCTAAAACACAAAGTATGGACCTTGAAAAATATAGGTAACAAGTGTTGTAGGCAGAAGAACAGCAAGCATAAAGGTTTTGAGGTAGGAATGAGTTTGTTTCTTAAAGACAAATAGACTAGTGTAGTTGGAGAGCAATAACTGGTAAATAGTATGTAGGGAGCAGAGGTTAGACAAGGGATTGGAGGTCATAGAAGGGCCAGATCAGGTAGAATTTGGTGTAAGTCATGGTAAAGAATTTGAATTTTCTGCATAGGATAATTGGAGACATGGAGATGGTAAGAAGAGGTTGGTTTGAGATATATTTGGAGATAGGACTTACTACTGGGTTAAATTTGGAGGATGAGGCAAAGAGAGGAATTAAAGGGGTGACATTTAGGGTTTTGACCTGAAGAATGGAATAATGTTAATATTAAATTAGATAAGAGATGGGAGGGGAGAAAGGTAGGAGGCAGGAGAAGAGCTCTGTTTTGGATGAGTGAATTTTGGGATTTAATACTATATATCCGGATAGAGAGGTTAAAGAGGCACAGGGGTACAATCAGGACTATAAATATGAGAGTCATCTTCAAATAGATTACATAACAGCAACCTGTGGTTATACTGTCATGACTGTTTTTCTTCATAATACTCTTGGCAACAGATGTGGTCTTCCCTACAATCTGAGTTTCAGTCAGAATGGTTTCTAAGCATTCTTCCCAAAATTTCCCCCAAAAGCTCTCACCTCCCCAATCTCATTACTTTTTATTCCCTCGTCCTTGACCAAAGTAGTGATTATAAAAAAAAAACTTTTTTTTTTTTTAGTGTATAAAATGTATATTTTATCATGTTGGTTTCATTAAATCTCTCAATGAAAATCTGAGAAGCCCTTAGATGGTAATACACAATTGATTTAAGAGATCAGGAATTCTCCAGTTATCTTTATAACAGCACAGTATTAGCAGTTTAATCTAAATGCTAAATGAATGTTTTGAGAGGAGATAGATGTTGAAAATTAAAATACATTAAGTCCCAGTTAGGTGAAAAGCCAATTGTTAATTTCTGCCCACAAAGATTTGCTTCAGGGAATTGATTTCAGCAGCTGAGACATTGGTCATTTCATCCAGTCCACCAGAAAGCATGATTTTGAGGGTGGGGAGGATTCCAAACCTCCTGGTGATACTGAATTCCTTAAATATCACACATCTACTCTACTTCCATTGAAGGAGGTGTCTAATCCCTCTGGTTTGGGTTTGTTTTTTTCAGTGTGATTTTGAGGTCAGAGGAGATGTTGTCAACGGAAGGAACCACGAAGGTCCAAAGCGAGCAAGAGAATCCCAGCACAGAAAGGTAAAGAAAGCCTTCCTCCGCCATGTTGACAAAAACTCCCACCACCCCTCTGCATTCCAGCCCCCTTCGCAGAGATGGTCTCATTCATCTTGTAAGGGGTGTTAGGTACTCGTGGCTAGAGCACTAGGTAGGTGCTTCTATGTAGATTTTTTGTTTTGTTTTGTTAGTTCTTCTAGCTAGCCCAACAAGGTAAATAAGTATTGTCTCCATTTTATGAATGAAGGAACTTAGAAGTTTAGATAAGCAATCTAATTTGGTCCACTCTGGGATTCAAATCTCAGCTAAGTGGCAGAGCTGGGATTTGAAACAGATATGAATCTAAGCCTTTGCTCTTTCCACTTTACCATGGTGTCTTTCTCTGAAGCAGTGCGGTAAGTGCTGTGAAGGCTGATAATACGCAGTGGATGCATAGACATGAAAGTGACTGATAATCAATAGCTAATCTACAATATATAATGTTCACTATATGCCAGCTCTAAACGCTCAACCATATTTTAACTGATTGATAATTTTACAGCAATCCTATAAGACATGTACTATAATTATGCCTATTTTGTACATGAGACAGTTGAAGCTCAGAGAGGTTGAGTAAGTTGCCCAAGCTCACACAGCTAGTTTTGAACCCACAACTAGAAGTTGAACCCAGGCAGTCTAGCTCCACAATCTGAGCTCTTAATGACAAAACCATAGTTTCTTGGAAAGTTAGAGAAGGTTTCACGGAGGAGAAAAATAGAGCAGTCTAACATCTTTGCAAATGAAGGACCAGAGGCCCAGGAAGACTCAGTGACTTTCCCCAGATCATCCTGTAGCAAATGATGTAGCCAAAACTATGTCCTTCTCTCAGGAGAAAGTCCAGGCAAGATTTTGCACCTACCTGAGACAGCTGCTTCCTCAGGTCCCTGACTGAGTGCTTATGTTCCCTGTCTGCATTTCTCCCTCTTTCAAGTGTGCACCGTCAGACATTTCAGAACATCCCCATACGGGGCACCTTCTGTCCCTTTATAGAACTTGAGAGAGAACCAGTAGAGGTGATTTTCCAAGGAAAACTATGGGAGATGGTCACAGATCAAGCCCTGGAACCTTGAAGCTTTGGGGTCAGCCCACCCTCATCCTCTGAACCCATCAAGTAACTTCCAGATGCCAAGAAAAGCTGCTGGCCCTATTTCTGCTTCTGCCATCAACCCAGGAGAGCTCTGTGGAGCCAGCCGTTTGTGTTTATTCCAGTGTATGCAAGGCAGAATTAGCACCAGATTCTCTCTTTTTCAAAGGAAATTTCAGTGTTTTGAAGTTTATCCTGCATTTGTGGTGGCAATGATGGAAAGTACCAGATCAAAGTAATAACATTCTGAAGACACAAAATATCACCGTAGTATTTTCCTGTGGAAGAGAAATGTGTTTGTAGAGGTGAATCTTCAAATTTCTTATCGCATAAATAGACATCCTCCTCCATAAGTGTCAGCCTGGATGTAAAAATTCCTAATCTTTTGTACTTTTACAGCAACATTTGGCTCCAGCTGATTGCCTGGGGAAAACTTTTAGCATTATGAGCATCTAGGTCCTATCAACAGGTTGGGGGATGCAGTATATTCATACAAGGAAGGCACAGATGGAGGCTGTCACTTAAAACAGAAACAGATTTGTCTCGCTGTCCTTTCTCATTTCTCTGGCTGTAGCTGGGGATTGGAGAAGGGGGTTGGGACATTTCCTAAAAGGTATTCATGTGCTTTTAGCTTCCTGATTTTTCTCTATCCCAGTCTTTCTTATTGGAAGCAAGGTGAGTTCTAGAACCTAGGCGATTTTCTTTTTAGTGGAATGAGGAGAAAGAGGGTTAAGAGAATGAGGGTCACTCAAATGATATATATCCAGCCAACTGGCACAAATTTAGATTTCTTCTAAATGATATCCAAGTCCTTCCCTAAGAACCAAAGCCAATGCATGTGTAAGAATTTGCCTGTCCTGGGCTGGCCGAGTGTCTCAGTTGGTTAAGAGCTGGCTTAAAAGCGCAAGCTCTGAGCAACAGGGCCGTCGGTTCAGTTCCCACATGGGCCAGTGACGCTGCGCCTGAGCTGAGCTGTCGCTGAGCTGCCAAAAGGTGGCAGGATGGCTCAGCTGGAGTAACAACAAGATTGCCTATTCAATGGAGGGCTACGCCCACCTGCAACTGAACTAGGCACCCTGAGCTGAGCTGCTGCTCAGATGGTTCAGTGGCTAGAGCGTGTGCTCTTAACAACAAGGCTGCTGGTTTGACTCCCGCATGGGATGGTGGCTACGCCCACCCACAACTAAGATGAAACACAGCACCTTGAGCTTAGAGGTCATGAGCGGCTGCGGCAGCCAGATGACGACTGGCACCCTCCACAACTAAGATTCACGAACAACAACTTGGCTGGTCCCCCTCCCCAATTCCCCAATACAAATCTTAAAAAAAAAAAAGAAAAGAACTTACCTTTAAATAACTAAAATTAAATTAAATGTGAAGTTTAGTTTCTCATACATCCTAACTACATTTCAGGTCCTCAGTAGTTACATGTGACTCGTGGCTACCTTATTAATACAAATATAGGACATTTCCATTATCACAAGAAGGTCTTTGGGACAGTGTTATTGAGGCCCCTAGGAGGTGCGGTGTGATGGATGAGAAGAGGCAGAACAAGGCTTCACTTCATTGTTCCTGAAGGAACAGTGGGCATTCTTGGAGCAGTGTGAAGGCAGGAACAGATGATCGGGACCAGAGGAAAGTGGGAGGAGAAAAGGAGCATGTACATATACACTGCCAATTAGGGTTATGTTAGTATTGATGTACCCAGTCTGGATTAACCTCAAATGTTGGCTAATAGCTGAATTTCTTGCCATGAAACAAAAGAAGGACCTTTTTTTTTCTTCTTCTTCTCATCTCTAACAAGAGGTGAAGTCACCTGGAAAAGGCCATCAGGGAGGAGCCTGGGCCTGATTGGTAGCAAGGTGGGTTGCTCAGCCCTTGAATGACAAAGCATGACTGTAGAATAGATCAACTACAGATGAGTACTTCAAAAGCGTCTTCTAAAATCCACTGGTGTTCTGGAGATTGGACCGATTTTCTTTGGGAAGTAGCAGCAGAAATTGTCAGGTGGTAAAGAAAAAAAAAATAAAGTTGTTCATTCTGAGTCTCTTTATATTGTTTTTTTATAGAACCCATACTCTTTTATAACCAGTGTTTCTTTCTCTCCATCCCTCTGTCCCTGTCTTCTCCCAGATCTTCAGGGGCCTAGAAATCTGTTGCTATGGGCCCTTTACCAACATGCCTACAGGTAAGAAGCGAAGAACTGCAGAGTCCAGCACCAGCCTTTCCCTTGCATAGTGGAGTGTTACAGGAGGGATTATTGGAGAGAAGTTAGTCTGTTTCCCTGCCACCTGTCAGACAAATGTTACCTTATGACCAAAAGAAAAAACTATCCCTGTGCCTCTTCTCGAGAGCTAGAAGGCAGTGAAGAATTACTATCTAGGACACAGAATGTTCTGTGCTCAAATGGGGTACAACTGCTCTTACTGCCCTTTGGTCTAAGTAGGGGATAATAAGTTAGGGAGAGAGTTCTGCTCTCCCTAAACCATCTTCATTTGATACAGAGAAGAAAGCACAGCAGCTGCATAAGCCCTATGGGCCTGGTGCCCCACACAGGCCCAGAGCAGAAGATTCTTGCCGAACACTTTCTCATTAACTTTGACACTGAATGTGATGTGATGTTTAGGAGTGCTGTGGGGGTCAGCACTGGAGTTGTGCGGCACTGAGGATCCGCTGTGTATAGATTTGGTTCCTTCTTTTGAAAACAAAGGCCACCCACCTTTGCTTCTGTGCCCACTTCTGCCCCAGGGCTCAGGTCCTCTTACTCCTCAGAAGATGGCCTCAGCATCTGGTCAGGGACAGAAAGATGAGTGGCAGTAGGAAAAACCTGACACAGTAATTTTGCTTATGTTTTCTTTATTGGCTATTGACTGGATTTTTATGAAATTGCCAAGTGCCATTCAAGGATTTCTCAGTGGTTTTGTACTTTGGTATAATGAAAACCAGAGTTTCTCGCAGGTGTCATTTTGAAGGTGAGTCACTTGACCTCAGGGCACTCAGGCAAACAGAAGCACCTCAGCAATCCTCAGAAATGGATCAATAGGAAAGAACACCCACAAGGGCTCAGAAACCACCCATTGGTCAGTTCTGCTGATTTTCCAGGTGCCCTGGAACATTTCTGTAACCTCTCCTGATTTTTAATTCCCCAAGTGTGTTGATTCCAGCTTAGCATGTAGCCTTTCCCAGCTGATGTGCTGAGTCTCTGTCCAGGATGAAAGGTAGTTTTTTTTGGTGGTTTTTTTTTTTTACTGAATAAATTATCTTCCCGTCTCTCGACATTTACAGTAATTACCACTGAGTATGGTACTCTCAGTGGCTGTGATTATCAATTACCAACACAGAATTAGGTAAGGAAGGAGGGAAGGCAGGTGGGAGTTTTTTCATAGTATCTTAGCCAGCAGTTTAGCAAATTAATGGAAATTAGATCTTGATGTTTTTTTTTTTCTTTCAAAGTGTTTTATTTGAGATACTATTAAACCTTATCTACCAAATGGCCTTATGGGGACTGATAACCAGAGTAGGTAGTGCATCAGTGGAAAATCAGACTTAGAATCCATGCCCCTACTACAGATTCTAGCTTAAGGCCTTTCTGTCCCTTTGGGGCAGAGACACAGGGACTCCCACTGAGAAGTCCTGCTGGAGGCTTTCATTCAGAGGAGTATGGGGTAGAGGGCCCAGGTTAAATGTGCGGGTTGCTATGGTGATTTTTCGGTTTAAATATCCTGTTTAGATCAGCTAGAGTGGATGGTGCAGCTCTGTGGGGCTACTGTGGTGAAGGAGCCTTCGTTGTTCACCTTCGGCAAGGTAAGCATTTGGTGTTCTGTCAGAAGGGGAGGACACAGTATTAATATTCTGTTTGGTGATTGAGCAAGGCATCACCCATCAGTCTTTATGAACCCCCAAAGTAGCCAGAAGCCTCCCTTCACCCCGAGCCTTCTCTGACGACGTACCTGTGCCAGAAGACTCCATCTGTAAGGGAAGAGTAAGGACCTGAGAGCTAGAAGTACTTAAGACACAGAGGAAAGGCTCTTTCCCTATAACCCTCCCTTTTTGCTCTGTTGTTGCCCCAGAGCAGTCTGCTTCAGCAAGCCATCCAGATGGTGAAGTGACTGTTTCAAAAGTCCCGTTCTGATATCCTTAATGTTTCCTTCCTGGGGATGCAGGGTACTTACCCAGTTGTGGTTGTGCAGCCAGATGCCTGGACAGAGGACAGTGGCCTCCATGGTAAGTCCTGCTGTAAGCCTTCCTCCAGAGGAGTCTGGGGTCAAGGGCCCAGGTTAAGGGCGCAGATTCCTGTGGTGATTTTAGGTCTAAAGTTCCTGTGTAGATCAGCTGAAGTGGATGGTGCATCTACAGGGGGCTTCAGAAGGCCACAAATGTACCTGTGTCATATGGGGTCCTGTGGGATGAGTTTGGGTCACCACAGGTTACCCAGTGCTTAATTAACACAGTTCTTAGCACATCCTAGGTGCTCAATAAATATTTGTTGAATGAATGACTAAAATGTCCTTTCAAAACTTTTTGTTTATTTTGCATTATAAAATCAATGAGTGAACTATATCCATGGGGGGCGGGGGTTAAATATGACTGTTCATCACATAAAATAGAAATGAGCATGGATATAACCAAAGAATTCCAGTAATCCCACTACTTGGAGATGATCACCATACATTTCTTCCAGGCATGTGTGTATGTATATGTTTACACATAGATTTTATACAAATGTGATCATGCCCGTCGTTACTGTTGTGCGTTTTCACTTAAGATATTGCAAATATGTTTCCACAACATTACATTGCAATGCTGTTTTGCTCTCTGGTGACTTTTTCTTTAAAAGATTGGAGCTCATGTTAATAGAGTTGTCAGAAGCTGGAGGCTTTCACCAGCAGTCATGCCTCGGGCTTCTGAGTAAGGTCGTGTGTCCCCAAGCGTTGCTTAAGATCAACAATTCTGCTCCTACCTGAGTAACCCTAAGAGCTCATACATTCAGGTCCCCAGAGTAGACTGACTAGAGACCCATCTGGGAAAATGTGAACTGACACTAACCTCTACTTGTTTTCTCTGTCCTCAGCGATTGGGCAGGTGTGTGAGGCACCTGTGGTGACCCGAGAGTGGGTATTGGACAGCGTAGCCCTCTACCAGTGCCAGGAGCTGGACACCTACCTGATACCCCAGATCTCCCAGAGCTGCTGCTGATTCCAGCCAGCCACGTGTATAGTGTACAGGACCCATCTCCACAGGACCCCGAGAATGAGCTGAGGAAATGGCCTTGTTTCAGGCCCAGGGAGCTCCTCTTCAGGCTCTCCACAGTCCCGGTTACTAAATATTTTAGTGACATCAGCCTGAACTGGCTATGCAGGGGTTCCTTAAAGATTTTCTGCTTCAAGTCTCCCTTTGAAACCTGCCAATGAGCACAAAATTGCGGTAATTTTTTTTTTTACCTGAAAAGAATTTAAAACCATTTTAAGTGCCACCAATTGAGCAAGATGCTGACTCATTGTTTATCAGCCCTATGCCCCGTGCTGAGGGCACAGAGTGGCTGGCCTCAGGAGAACAGATGGTTTCCCTGAGTTTGTTTCTCTAAAACCCTATGTTCAGAAAGGCCAAGAGTCAGGCCCTTCAATGGAAGGTGATCTGTGATGTGACTTAAAATCAGAACAGTCCTTGGGCAGCTCTCAAATGTTGAAGTGGAGCATCGGGAAGGGGATTCAGAGGCCAGTAATGGATAGAAATACGAAACTTGAGGGTTAGTTAGAGGAGAGGGGAGCCATGCTGGCCCTGATCTCCAAAAGTCTGGGTAAAAAAGGGTGTCCAAAGAATCTCCTAATTCCCTATCAGTAATAAATAAAATGTTTACTATTGTAGCTCTGATATGTAACCCATTCCTCTTGAAATAGAAGATCTCAGATATGAATATTTCATGTCTGTAAAATGACAGATTCCACCAGGAAAGGAGCTATTGCTTTCCTTGAGGTAATTTTTCCCCTTTGCTCCCTATTGCTGAACTGTACAGCTTCATACATGATTTTGTTTGCTGAAGAAAGAGACAGTGTTTTCATAAACTTATTATCCGGGACTGTTTATAGCTGTTGGAGGGACTAGGTCTTCCTTAGCCCCCGCAGTGTGTGAGGGCAGTGCAGACTTGGTTGTACAAAATATGTTTTGTAAATGTCATGCTGTTCACCTGCAAATAAACTTAATAGCAAACACTGGCACCACATGACCGTTTTTGAGGCTCACGCATGCAGACCTCTCGTTGCCGTTTCACTGTACTTTAGTCTCCTTGTCTATAAGATGAGGGTAGTAAATAGTACCTACCTCCTAGGATTGTTGAGGGGATTTCACAACCTGTTGTAGGAGTTTCTGTTGCCGCCATAACAAATTGTCACAAATCTAGTGGCTTGAAACAGTGCTCATTTATTATCTCATAGAGCCATGGGTCAGAAGTCCAAGTGGGCTCAACTGGTTTCTTTGTTTTGGGTTTCATAAGGCCAAAATCAAGGTGTGTCAACATGCTGCATACCTTTCTGGAGGATCTGGGCATGAATCCACTTCCAAGCTTATTTCATATTGGCTAAGTTATTCCTCACAGTTGTAGGACTAAGATCTCTTGTTTCCTTGCTAACCGTTGGCCAGAGGTCAAACTTAGCTTCTAGAGATCACCCACATTCCTAGGCTCATGACCCCCTACCACCATAGCTGGTCAGGTCCTCCTCACATTTGGACTCGCTGACTTCCCTTCTGCTTCATCTCTCCAACTCCTGCCAGAGAAATTTGTTTTTAAGGGCTCGGGTGAAAAGATTGTGCGCACCAATTAATGCAGGGTGATTTCCTATCTTACACAGTCCATAACCTTAATTACAGCTGCAAAACCTCTTTATAGCAGTACCCAGATTCCTGTTTGATTAAATAACGGGACAAAAATCTATGGAGTACGTCTTTAGAATTCTGACAACCACTCCTATTTAACATGCTTAATTCACAGATAAAAGTCTGTCATCATTCCTTGGTATTTACACTTCAGAAATTGGAATCCTCTTTGAGGCAAAGAGAATGAAGTCCTCACACAATTCAGCGCTGCCATATTTGTGAGGCGGGTGGGTGGGTGAGGGAAGAGCAGAGAAAATAGAACTGCCATTGCTACATTTTGATCTCAGTCTCCATCACAGCTCTATGAAGTGGGTATTTGTCACCTCGTTTGAAGAGTGGGAACTGAAAATACAAGATTTTGCTCAGAGTTTGCACAGCTAGTAGATGACGACCCAGATACCTGAACCCATGCCCTTCCCATCCCATCCTTCAGCTTTCCACCTGCATCAGTCCCTGACCCCAGGTCAGAAGGCACCGTATAGAGCCTAAAGGGAATTTGGGGAGAGGAATGGATTGTGAAAGGAACCAGCACTCTGGCTTTTATGGGCCAAGGTGTGAGGCAGTAGAAGGTTCCTGCCTGGGAAAGCAGCCCTAGGCACAGAGACTTACAGGATTGGATCATGGCAACTATTTCCATTCCCATCCAGCTTCCCAGCTTATGATTGCTTATCTTTCAGTTGTCAAAGCCATCTAGTTCAGCCTTGCCTACAGCATGACCCCTCTAGGGCCCATTCCAGCCCCCCTGTGTACCTGTCAGGGAGTCCAAGGGTCTTGGTCTTAGCAGTCAAGGCAGGCAGGAAACGAGTACTACACACCCAGTCTTTAGTTAAAAAGTTTCATTTCCAGTGACAAGCCGTGGTTTATTGGATGCTGGTGGGGGTGGGGGTGGGGGGCAGGCCTCAGCCTGCTGTCCCCGTCACTGATGGGTTAATAGAAATGGCAACATCTATCTGGTACAGCCTGCCTTCCCAGGAATCCTGGGTGAAAGCAGAGATTAAATAAGACACATTAAAACATTTTCTGTGATTGTCAGTCAAAGTCTCCCAAAAATCACCCACCCCATTTATTTTTTGAGTTCTTCATAACCTTTCCTGGAAGTCAAATTCTGTCCCTGACCTCATGATGCTTGGCTGGGTTTAAGAGTCTTATCTGATGATAGAATAAATCTTGTTCCTTTTACCTCTGGATTTAAGATGTCCTCCCACTTTTCCAACCCACAATCTTTAGCCCTCTCTGGCCCCAGCAACATTTTGGGAAGAGTTCCTGTACTGCCTTTATCTCATTTCAGGAAATGAACTTCTGCAATGGAGCTGGAAAGGAAGAAGAGGAGGGATTATCATGCAGGCACAGGGAGGGGCCTAGAGAAGAGCTCGGTTGATTATCTCCCTCCTGAAAAATGCAACCAGAATCACCAACAAAGAATCCGCTCAAATAAACACAGGCAGGAGAAAAAGAAAGGAATCAGTGTTGGGGTGGTTGGAGCGGAAGGAGCTAAGCTGCCCAGAATATCCTGTGAAGGCTGCGAGGAGCAGATAAGGGCAGCCCCAGAGGCAGGTGGCACAGAGAAGCAGGGTAAGGGGGACTGCAGATATACCCACAGAAACCAGAGAGAATGGGGCTTACTAGCCAGGCACCCTGAGAGTTTGCTTATCAAAGGCTGTAAAATGGCTGAGCCAGAGGCCCCTTTACCGTATACTTCAGTGATGTTTAGCTCCCTCAAACAGCCTGTAAACCTGCCCATAACAAGGAGAAAATTAGAGAAATGAATCTGGGCAAATAGAAAATTAAGGAGAACTGGAGACAGCCAGGTCCTGTGGAGAGCAGGGATTGGGGAGGTGCAGAGGGAGCTGGTCCTGACGTGAGTCTGAATGATCTAGAAAAATCTTAAGTAACGGTTTGCACAGATGGAGAACTGGAGAGACTCCCCCCATATTATGGGGGCCGGGGAACAAGAACTTCGGAATCCTAGTTTCAGGGACCTGGAATAATAAAGCAGCTTAATACTCAGTTTAGTGCAGTAATTCTCAAACCCTGGTCTCCTTGGGGAAGGCGGGGGAGGTAACATCATCATCTAGGAACTTGTTAGATATGCAAACCCTGGGGCCTCACTTAACCTACTGAATCAGAAACGGGTGAAGCCCAGCAATCTGATTCTGAAACAAGCTCAAGTTTGAGAACCACTGGCTCAGTGAAAGGGACTGCTAATTGGTATGAAGTGTTACCTATGGTTTATTATTTTGTCTCCAGGAGAGGTGAATCTTGGGGCTGTTAAGAAAAACTAAGGTTTCTGGGCTGGTTCGTGGTTCTTACCTACAAGGTTGCAGCAGCAGCTGGCTTCAGTTGACTCCAGAAGGGCCCTTTAAACAAATATAAAGGACAAAGATTAAATTATATTAGCAGCAGAGGAGCAGAAGGGCCAGACTGCTTAAAAAAACAGCTTGAGGTTTGAGGTTTAGGAGGTTTTATTAATATTTAAATTGCAGTGAAACCACAGCTGCAGCCTTTGACTCCAGCATAGAAATATGCAAATGCAGCTTTCTAAAGAAAGGCAATTTCAGACAGCCCTCAAGGTAACAAGAACAAATAAAACAAATGATTTTGTAATTTATTTTTATTGACTGATGGAGAGAGCAAGGCACAGACAGCCTGCCCAGCGATCATCAGCTACCAGCGAGCTCTCTGAGGGGAGAAGAGAAAGGCAACCTAGAAGGAGAAAGGCAGGCAGACCTGTATGTAGGCTGGTGACAGGAAAGACCCAAGGAGGACAAAACAGGAGGCAGATGGAATGTGAAGGTGACTAAATTAAAAGGGAAGGAATGTGGAAACCCAGGCCTGGGTTCTGAGGACGATCTGATCTTGCTGTCCCTCAGGGGTAACAACAATCATAATCATTAACGACTGTTGTTTGCCACACTCCTACTAAGTGCCATGCACTCTTCCCAGCGTCCAAAGGAGGAAAATGATGCCTTGAGAGGTCAAGCAACTTGCCCAAAGTTACACAATGAAAGGAGGTAGCAAAGCCTGATTCAAACAAGGATTTGTGTGAGGCTAAATTGTGCTGGGAACTAGTCCCAGGAGATGGTGAAGCACTGAGGGGAGACAATGTGCCCGCACTTCTGTGGGAGCCTGGATGTGTGGACGTGTGCATACCAAGGTTGTGGAAGGGAGGGAGAAAAGATCCATTTCTGGCCTTCAAGTTGTTTTCTATTTAATGAGTGAGGCAAGGAAGCCACAGAAAACCTTCGCAGAATTGTGCCTCTGGTTCAGAAGCCCTTTGGGGGCTGTGTTGTGGGATCAGGCTCTGCCTGCTATGGGGGGCAGGGGGAACCTTGGTGAAGCATCCCAAGCTGGCCTTTGGAGCTTGGGTAGAATTTGGCCAGGTGAAAAGGAAGCCCGAAGATTCCACAAGGCCCAGGTAAGAACCCCATCTGCCAGAACTGGGGGAAGGAGCACTTGATCCAGAAAGAAAAGAGATGGGAGGGCCTTCTAAGGATACATTTCTCTGACCCACCCATCCAGTCTCCCCAGATCTTCCATCCCAAGTCCAAACCCAACCTGTCCGTGCTTCACCCTTTCAGGCACCCTGACCAACAAATACGGGGACCCACAGATTTTGCTCAGACTGTATCTTGTACTGAGCCAGTTCTGTTCTGCCATCCCAGGCCCAAATCCTGCCCACCCCACCTCCTCCCCAGGTCTTCAGCCCAGAATCTCGCCCCACTCAGAACACCCCAGAATTTTGCTTTATTTATGACACTTTTTTCCTTCAATTAAGCTATTTCTCTATTTGACTAGAAGGGCTTTATGGGCAGGATTAGTATCATTTTATCTTTGTTACAGCCCAGCTGTGTGCCTGGCAGATCCCTTGTTAGGCACCCATGAGTATTTGCTGGGTGAATAAACTAAAGGATGAATGAATGGTCTCACGGAGTGAAGGGTTTGTCCAACTGCTGGCCCCACCCTCAGGAACTTTGGTCCCTGGAAAACTATCCACATTCTGCCACTGGGAGTACCAATTCCCTTCAATCCCCCCACTCATTTTTCTAGGATCCCACTTTATTCCAAAGACATCAGATCTAAATGTCCAAGCATCACTCTTGCTCTTCTAAGCCCTCACCTACAGATTTCCTTGATTCTCTTTTGCCTATCATAAAGCCTACCCCTTTGCGATTAATCAGAACAACACCCACCCAGGCTGAGAACATCAGCTTCCCCTATCCATGTGTCCTCCAGCAAGGCCTCCTCCAGGCTGTTTACTCAAAGACACATAAACTGCTGCTGCCATCACTAGAGAAATAATTATGATGTTCATGATAATCTCTGCAAGTTCAAAGCACTGGCATAACCATTATTCCTCTCTCCTCACTTGTCCCCTGGGAGATAGCTAGGTTAAAGATTGTTATCCCTACTTTATAGGTGATAAAACTAAGGGGAAGGGGGGGCCCTTGTCAAAGATCACCCAGTGAATTTGTGGCAGACCTGGAACTAACTAGCCCAGGAGTCCCTGTTCATTAGGCCACAGATGGAAGTGCGTTCATTATATTGTCTGGACTGTGTTTTGTCGGAGAGAGGGAGTATGGATTCCAGTTGAGTGGGGGTAGAGACCGAGGAAGATAAAAGAAAGCTTGTGACCCTGTAAAGTTTTTTCTCTGCAGTGCAGCAGTTGGTACTGGTTAATTCCAGAAGAGTTTTTTTTTTTAAAAAAGCCTTTACAACATGTCTAAGATTGAGGAAGAAAAAAAAAAAGGTGAATCTGAAGGTAACACAGACACAGGTAAGCAGATGTTTGCCATCTCTTGAAAAGGACATAAAACCAAATGGTAGTGTATATTAGCAAGAAAAACTCAAATTACAACTTATGTGGGTCTTCCCAGCTGTTACACTATAGGACTCTGAAATAAACTAGTGCTAAGTAAATAGAAAATCCTCCCTTGGTGAAGCCTGTTCCTGGGGCCTGGTGAGGGGAGGTGTCTCCTGGAGGCATAGGCCTTGTGAGGGCTGCCTCAGGACCCTCTGCAGCTGCCAAGGTGAGAGCCTGCTGGAGGGATCATCCCCAAACCCACAGAGGCTCTTGAAAGCCATGGAAGCCAAAATTTGGTTTCTAACCAAATGCCAGAGAAATTAAGGCAAAGCAAAAATACTTCCTAGGAATTCAAGAGGCCATTTCCTAAAGATAGGGCCCCCAGGGCTGTGCTGGGGAAGGCAGTGATAATCTCCATTCTGGTTCCACCCTAAACTATAGTGCAGGGCTTGTCCCCTTCCCCCCAGGCCAGCTCTGGACTTTTCTCAGCTGTTAGCTCAACACCAGTCTCCATTATGTTTTGACCCTTTAGCTTCTCTGTGCCACTGGAGGCTGTGAGGTATGGAGATGGGCAGAGAGGCAGAACACCTGAGCCCAGGGAGGTGGTGGCTGCACCGCACTGTGAATTGCATGAAATGTCACGGAATTGTACGCCTTAAAATGGGTCATTGTATGTTATGTGAATTTCACCTCAATTCAAAACAACAACTGAGCTGCCCTGGGAGTGAGGAGAGGAGCTGGGCCTCTCAAGGCTGTGAGGGTTGAGGCTTCATGCAGGGAGTGGCCATGAGCAACAATGGGAAGGCCAGTCTGGGCCTCCCCCCTCCTCCTCCAGGACCAGATGGGAACTGGGGCTAGAGAAAAAGGCCCAACTGGAGCAGCGCCGGGGTCTGGGCCGAAGAGAGGCGCTTAGTGAAAGCGAGGAGGCTGCAGCCGCCGCTCATTTGCATCATAAGTGATTGGTTTTCCCTGCTTGTCCCTCATTAGGACACAATGGACAGTTGTTTGCTGGCGCAGCAGATCCATTTACCAAGGGGAAGAGGAGACAGCACAATGACTGATGCGCTCCCCCAGGCCACTGGAACACTTGTTCTCAAACAATGAGAAGGGACCTGAGCAAACCAACCCCATCCTTTTACAGATGAGGAGACTGAGATGCTAAGAGAGGATGAGACTTGCTAAGGTCCAACAGCGAGTTCATGGCAGAACTTGGGCTTCTAGAATCTACTGTCTAGATTCTAAACTTTCATTCCAGGGCTCGCTCCACTTGCCTGCAATTTCTTCTCCATTCCCGGCTGGCTCAGGGTTCTTCATCTCTGTGGCCGCTTTCCTTCTCTTCCAGGCCTTGGTTTCCATCAGTTTTCTCTCCTGTGTCTATCTAATCTCCTCTTACTCTGTTTTTGCCCCTGTCTATTTTTTCCTCAGTTTCCAGGAAGCCAGGATAATTACTAAACTTCTAATTAATCCCTGCCCTAACAAGGGTGGGTCTGGCAGGAGAGGCAGCAATTTTGAAACTGTCTTGGTGTGTTTGGGGGATAGGTGGGGACAGAGCAAATATGTATTGAGACCTATTATAAGCCAAGAACGAACACAGACACGTGACACTCTCATTTCATCCTTTCATCTTGCAAGGTCAGTGTTTTTAGAGACAAGGAGAGTGAGAGGCTCAGAGAGGTGGAATAACCTACACAAGAGCGCCCGGCTGGAAAATGGTAGCTGCCTGACCCCAAAACCTCCGTTTTTCCACCACACACTCTGGCACAGGGGCTAGAGCAGGGTATGAGGCCCACTGATTCCAGGTTCATGAGAAGCACAACCTTGCCCAAAGAGGCGATTGCTTTGTTTCCCACCCCTCAACCCGGGCAGCACCTGCCTCCCCCCACACAACCCTCTCTACCCTTTGGTTCCCACCTTCCTCTGGGCCCTTCTGCATTGTGGTGAAATCTCACAAATGCAAGCTTTTGCATCTGGGAGGCTGGGGAGATGACAATTAAGAGGGAGAAATCTGACAGACCCAGACCCAGACCGCTGAGGTCTCCCTCCTGCTGACACCCCCTCCCAGTTCCCTGTCTGCCCCTCCCCTCTGTGGGTCAAGCTTGCCAGCATCTGCGTCTGTCTCATTGTGCTCTGGGAAAAAGGGAGGGGGGTAGGGGGTGAGTGTGTGGTGGGGTGAGTGGGTGTCTGTATGCATGAACATAAGGCCTCTGGGTTCATTCTGACACTGAATGAAAAACTCACCAATTATTCCTCCAATCTCATTAATATGCAGACAGACATCTGTTATTTAGGAGTCAACAGCAGAGGCGTTTTCCTGGGGGGGAGGAACACTCATGTACATGTCCCTCTTGTCTCCCTGGCTGCTGGGAGGTAGCTGCTTGGGAATCACCCCACCTGCCTGGACCTAGAGCCTCCCCGTCTCTAACCCTCACCCCCCAACCTTGAGGAGGGAGAGTAGGGGAATTGACTAGAGATGGAGAGAGACCTGGGAATCCAGCCGGAAGGGGGAAGGCAGGAGAGGGGCTGCAATGTGTGGAGGAAACTCCTTTGTTGGCAGAGAGGGAAGGGGGGGTTACTGCAGAAGAGCTGAACACCTTTCCTGGGGACGAGAGTGTGGCACTAGTGGAGAGAGCTGTGCCAGGATTCCTGGTGTCCACCCACAACCTCAGGGACATGACCCCTTGCCCCCACCTCCCTCAGCCTTCAGGACAAAGTCTGAGTGTATCTGGGGTCGGGTCACTATGGCAACATGGGGTCCTCACCCAGAGACTTCAGAAAAGATAATGGGGGGAGTTCAGAAAAATGAGGACCAAAGGCGTTCAGCCTTTGGAGGAGTCACTAAAGCTCTCTCTAGCTTTCAGGGTAGGTGTGGGAACAAGATACAGTAACCTCCCCGTCCAGTGTTTTGGCCTCCCTCAGTCTCTGTATCCCCAGCACAAGAAGCCCCCTTCAACAAGCCTTCCTGATTCTCTCAGGCCCAGCTCAGAAGCACTGGATGTCTAAGTGGTAAAGACTGAAGGTTGATATCAGCTCTGCCCCCCTTTAAAGGGTCAAACAGCTTTTCGACATCCTTTCTCCTCTCTAAACCTTCCTCAACAACACAATGAGGTAGATGTGATCAGCTCCCTTTTCCAGGTATGAAAACAAGTTCGGACAGGCGCAGGGCCTCACCAAAGGCTCCCCAAGGAGGAAGGGGCAGAGCTGGAACCTAAGTCCTCAAACCTTTACCTCCAAATCTCGAGCTCTTTTCATGACTATCCCTCCTGGGAAGGCTGGAGTCCCAAACCGATGGATGACCCTCTGTCAGGTGAAGCATTTCAGGGGTTAGACCAAGTCCCTGCCCCTACCCCCACCCCTTTCTTTCCTCTCCTCCCTCCTGGGCAGACGGATTGCTGAGGTTAAGAAACACTGGAAGCATCACAGCATGATTAGTTGTTTATTTCATTAAATGATTAACGAGGCTACATTGTTTCCCAAACGGGTGTCTAATTTGTGGGGGAAACAGCTGCAGAGAAGGAAGCTAAGTCAGACTCCTGCATCTGGGATTTGGGGTGGGAGTTAGGTCCCCTGCGTCCAGGCCTTTGAGGATCACAGAACAGCCCCATTCCCTCCTCCCAACTATTGGGCTACTGGGCCCAGTGGCACAGCCCCCTCCCCGGAAATAAAACGTCTAACAACCCAGACCTTCAGAGGGGACCAAAATCTGTTGTCAGTGGTATTGGAAATGTATTAAACTTTGGGGGCTCCTCCAGCTGATTTATCTTCCTAATTATGTTTGCTTTAGGCGGATATTGAAATGTGTTTGCATTCCCTGAGCGTGGCAGGAGGGGGAGGTGGGGGAGAAGAGAGGGGTAGGAACACTGCCATTCAGCGCCTACAGTCTTGAGCCTGCTTTGTACCGAAGTCCAAGGTGGAAAAGAAGCCACGAGGCCCCAAATCCCAAGTGTATGGTATGGCAGGTCCCTGTGGGGGAAAGGGTCAGTCTTCTGGGACCAGCCTGAGAGATGGGCCTGGGAGGCCCAGCCCTTTCCAGCACCCTCAATCCAGGACTTAGGGTCCTTGAGGAAGGTCTCAAAGTCAGCCTCTAAACAGGTTTCGGTTTGTGAGCATGGGATGCCCCATGCCCTTGAAGCTGTCCCAGAATCCTTGAGGAGACTGGCTGAGATGGACCAGGACAGGGTCCTGTAGGAGAGGGAGGAAAAGGGGTGTCTGAAGAGCCAGGAGTGAGTGGGGATTTCCTTTCCTCTCAAGGCTAGGCCCTGGCAGAGGGAAAGGAGAAGCTATTTTAAATGACACATCTCAGAGCCAAATCCCGCAGCCCCCATCACCTCATCCAGACAACCATCTATCCCCAAAACCAAATCTGGTCACTTCATTCTCTGCTTAAAATCCCTGGTGCCTCCTCACATCCTCAGAATGAAGTCCTGGTTCCTTTGTGGGCCCTGCAGTGGCCTTGAAGGAGGCTTGTCTTCTGCCCTTCCCATCATGGCAGCCCCAAGCCGTGCCATGTTCTTCCTCAACTCCATGTGTTTGCACATGCTGTACCCTCTGTCCAGAGTGCCTTTCCTACCCCTTCCCTGCCTGGAAAACCCCCTTTCAACCTCAGAGGACTGGCTCCCGAGGTTGTAAAGAGCTCCCACAGCCAAGGGACTGTCACACCTGGGGTCCCTCTTTTCCCTGCTGGGCTGGCCTCCAGAGCACAGAGACTGGTCCATTCAGACTCCCAAGCCAGTGTCTGGCACACAGTTGGTGCTCAGTACATATTTACTGAATGAATAAGGGAGGGATGGGCTGTGAATTAGGGGGGATCCCAGAAGATGGGAGTGTGTCTGGAAGAAGTGGCTGGGGCTGGGGGAGGGGTGGGCCAGGGATGGTTCCTGGGGGAGAATGTCACCGAAAAGAGGCCAGTGGGACCAGAGCCAGGGAGGGGAATACAGGACAATGTGAAACCAGACTCCGGAGAAAACAGACCAGCACTGTCTTTCCTGACAACAAGCGCTCCAGCCAGCCCCTCCACCAGCTTTCCTTCTCTAGAGGGTTGGGGGGAGTAAACTCAGCCGATGCTCCCTTCAAAATCAAGGAGCTCAGGATGGAAAGAGGGTGAGATCCCTTGCCCCCCACTCTCTGAGGATACCCCAGAATCAAACCTCTGTCCCGCTGGGAAACTTCACTCTACCCAGGGTCAGCTTCTGCAATGTGGTGGCTTTTGATGCCCTCCCTACTTCCACAACACCCAGGACACCAGCAGATTGGGGGCAGGGAGGGGAACGGTGAGCAAGGGGCCTGGATTACTTCAGGAAGACCCCTCCCACACTAGCAGGGGATCCCCGCTGGGCTGAGTAATGAATCCTATATCAGTCCACTTAAAACCCCCCTAACAGCCTTAGGATTGTCTGGTTCATTAACCAAGATGAATATTCCCAAGATAGCTCACTTCCCCACCTCTAGCTCCTAAAAGGACACTGCTGATGCAACCAGTGACTTTTTCCTTTGCTTCTTCTGTGAGCATAGACAGGAAAGTTCTTCCTGAAGTCTAACTTTCCCTCCTGCTGCTAGAGATTGGTAAATTGTTTTTGTTTTTATTTTTAGAAAGTAACAAAACTAAAGCCACAGCCGTATTCCAAGGACATGGGCTTTATTTGGGGACTGTTGGAAAAAGGCAGGGAGGGAGCTAGAATGGGTAAGTAGATGGGGGAGAGACTTCTCTCAACTGCTTTTTAATTTAGTGCATATTGCCTGGAGGTTAGGATGAGTGAGAACAGCTGTAGAAGTGAGATGAGAGGAAACGGGAAGGTCATGAAATGGACACTTTCCTTAGGGAAGGAAGATAGGACCAGGACATGGGGCTGGAAGTAGGGAGGGAAGGCGCCCTTCATATACTGAGACTCAACTAGTCACTGCTTGTTGCCAGCTTCCCCAACCCCCCTACCCCATCCCAGCTCCAGGCCCAGGTCCCTGCCCTGCTAGCTGCCTCAACTTCCTGTGGAGGAGAATGAGGATGTGGGGAATGGTGGCACCCTCTGCCTCTGACTCTCTTGCCCAGGAGAATTGCTCGCTCAGCCTACCCTGAAGTCCCAGCCAGAGTCAGGAGGTCAGGAAACCAGGGTGCAGGCAGGGGAACAATTGTGCCCTCACCACCCTTCCTGACACTCTGTCCCACCCAGCCCCTCACATGAGGTTGCAGCTCTTGGCTCGATCCTTGTGTATCTCGCCTTCGTTTCCGTTCCCCCGGTCTGGCCGTCCTGCCAGCTGAGCAGATCGCTGCAGTCCCCGGCGTGAATCAGTACGGCGAAGCGGCCTATGGCCACGGCCAAGGGAGGCCACTGTGGCCACATGGAAAACATCCCTGACGCTGCGCTCAGAGGACCGGGAGGAGCACTCCACATAGGACACAGCCCCCACCTGCTTGGCCAGCACAGTGCCCTGGAAGGATGGAGTAAGTCAAGGGATCAGGTCAGAGGCCAGAGGCCAGGGAAAGGGATGAGCAAAGTAGGGTGTTTTCATATCAGAGATTGAGAGGGTCAGAGGTAGGAGGTCTAGGCTGGGACTAGGTCAGGGGTCAAGGGTCCTACCTGCTCATGTGTAACGGGGATGAGCCTCTGCTTGGACAGCTCCCTCAGTGTGGCCAGGTCAGTCCGCATGTCCAGTTTACAGCCAACCAGCACAACCTTGGCATTGGGGCAAAACTCCTGAGTCTCCCCTTGCCACTATTTGGGGGAAGAAAATAGAGTTATGGAGGAATGAGAGGAGGTACAGGGTGAACTGTGCTCCACACCAGGAGGACGCCTTCCTTAGAGCGCAAGGAAACCATGCATGCCTATGGACTGTCCCATGTGAGCAAGGAATGGGAATGGAGGGCTTGGGCTGAAAGGATGGGATGTGGAAGAAGGCGAGGGAGGAGAGGGCTTGGGTGGGGCTGTGGGGTCAGGGACCCTGCTTCTACCTCAGGGGCCATGAAGCCTCTGCCAGCCTGGGACCTTCCCTTTCCCAAATTTGTTCCTGGGAACAGACCAATCCTGCCCTCCCCTCCCGCTTCTCTCCCCTGCCTGGGAACTGGGGCTGCCTCAGCTGACTTCTGTCCTTTCCCCATGGGCTTTTCTCATGGAAATAGGGGCCTGGAGAGGAGAGACCACTCCAGGAGCAGCATTCCCATCCTGTCCATCTGGGGTTCCCATGCCCTAGGAGATGGGGAGGGTGGCTAAAGAATCATTTGAGTATCTCTCCCTGCTCTCCCCTATCCCCCCAGAGGCTCTATTCAGTTCTGAGGACTGATTTCCAGGAAAGGGGGGTGGGGAGGATGAGAGCTTCACCCATTCCCAGCTGATGGCTTATGTTGTGTCAAGACCATGGTTTTTGGTCCCCCTCAGTCTAGCTTCCTGCTTCCCCAGGCTCCCACCTTCTTGAGGACACTGTCCAATGTTTCTGGTCGGCTAATGTCAAAGCAGATGAGCACAGCGTCTGAATCAGGATAAGCCAGGGGCCTGACGTTATCGTAGTAAGAGGAACCTGAGAGAAGACAGGGAGAGAGGGGGCAGATGAGGGTCCTGAGTGAGTGGAAGGCCTGGAAGGGAATGGGAGACCTTAGCAATACTGGTTAAGGGGTGCTAGTAGAGAATGGAAAAGAGCAGTTATTAATACTCATTAAGTAGTCTGCTGCGTTTCTGCAAGGTGGGGGCAGGCAGAGGGGAGGTTAGATGGCAGAAATCAGCTCTCCACTTCCCTAGGGGTTTCTCTAAAAGTAATCATTCTTAATCTTTTCTGAGTCTGAGAAGCTCATGAAATCTCTCGACATTCTCACAAAATTTTGCATGTGCTTTCTGGGCTTTGACAGACATCTTCTAAAGCCCTCCAGGGGGCTAGGGTAAAAATAAAAACCCTCTTCCTTTTTGGAAGAGGGAGAGAGCCCTCTCATCCTCTTGGGACTTGAACTCAGATTTCTATAATTCAGTCTAGAAGTATTTCCCAAACCCAAAGAAATTTTAAATGTCTTTCCTAAACCCAGTTCTATCTCCTAAAAAACATGTTCCCAAATAAAAAACATTCCTTTTCAACTTTCCCAGGTAGGCAGAACCGAGGGGATTGGATATTGGGCTTTTCTCCTTCAAGACATCATTTCTATGTGTGTCAGCAAGCTCTGCCTCAGTTTCCCTGGCTTTAAGGAAAAAATTTATTTTCTTTCCTCCTAGTATTGGAGGATGGGCGGAGCTGACCTGGAACCTAAGGGTCTAGCCAAGGGAGGGGTCAGGGTTGGGGACTTGGAAGTCAGGGTGACCCCAGGGACTTGGCTACCTGAAGTGTCCCACATGTTGAGCTCAATGCGGCGCTTGTCTATCTCAAAGCTCGCGGTGTAGTTCTCAAACACGGTAGGGACATAACTCTGCAGACACGGATGGGTCAAGATGAGATCTTCCAGTCCTCACCCCAGACAAATGCCCTCACTCCCACACCACATCCAGCCCAACCCCTGGACACAAGTTGGCTTGGTGTTAGGCAAAGGGGAGATCCCGGGAGCGGCTCCCTCAGGGAATCTCTGCTAGGCTCGCAGACCCTCTCCCGGTTCCTTCAGCCCATAGTTCTTCCTCTCTCCGAAGCCCAGGACCCCCGATATTCTCCTGGCGCCCCCTCCGGGATCCTCTGTGTCTCCCAAACCCCATTCATCTCACCCTGATCCCCAATTCCTCCCATCCCAATCATCTGCAGTCCTGCCAGAGACCCCAACATCACCCCTGGTCCTCCGAGCCCCTTTCTCCCGTCCCTGGTTACCCCAGCACCCATTTCTGTCCGTCCCCCGGGACCCAGTCACCCACTCCCGCGGCCTCAGCGCCCCCCTCCCAAGACGCCTGTCCCTCACCCCGGGGTAGGCGTCCTTGGCGAACACCTGCAGCAGCGCTGTCTTGCCGCACTCCGCGTCCCCCACCACCACGATCTTGCAGCGGCCGCTCTGCCCCTCCATGGTCCCGGCTACGCGCCGGCCCCCCGCGCAGCCCCCCTCCCAGGCCCCGCTGCAGCCTCCCCCGCCGCTGCAGCTGCAGCCGCTCGGGCCGCCGACACCGGCATCTCGCGGGCCCGCGCGGAGCCCCCTCCCGGGACCGCGGCCCCCCCTCCGCCCCGCCCCCAGTCCAGCAGCCGCGCCCCCGGCCCCGCCTCCCTCCCGCGCACCCAGGGGGCGGGGCCCAGAGGAGCTGGGCAGGGTCCGGGGAAACCTAGGCCTAGGAGCAGGGTTCTAGCGCGCTGGTGATCTAAGGAGCTCCTGCTGGTTTGGGGCGGGCCGAGCCAGGCTATTGGACTGATTTGAGTTCCTAGGAGATGGGGGGCGGGGCGGAGCTCGGGCGAAGTTCTGATGGGTAAGGTGGCATCAGCACACTCACGAAGCTCGGGCCTTCTGCGTGCCCACGCGTGCACGCCGGTGTGCTAGTGCGGACACGCGCAGAGGCAACCATTCACTTCCTGAACACAAGGGGGCACGAGATGGTAGGGGAAGGAGGGTGTCTTTTTGGTTCGCTCATCCTTCTTCACTCTTGTCCCGGCAGGGAGTCTTGGGGATAGAAAGGGTATGGACTCCCAACACACCCACCAGGACAATGGTGACGTCATGGCTTTCCGTCCCCATGGCAACGGACGGCCTAGTCTGAGGCTGTGGTGATTTAACAGCGAACCTGGACTAGCAGAGGAGCAAGAATGAGTTTCTTCAGCCAAGAGTAGGGTGAAAAGTTTTTGGGGAGCTGCGTCCTCTGGTGGATACTTCGGGGAGATGGAGAATGGGGAGGAAGGAGAGGCAGATAGAACTGCCCAGAGTGACAGCCCTGCTGGAGCCAGAAACAACCTCGAAAGTCATTTCAGGCTTCATTCGGAATCTAACAATAATCAAACCACTACTTTGTATTTGCATGGCATCTCCTACCTTTTAAAAAGCACTTCTTTAGGGCAGGCCGAGTGACGCATTGGTTAAGAGCTGGCTTGGGACTCCAGAGGGCCCCGGTTCGGATCCCACATATGAGGGCCAGTGACACTGCCCTCCACAGCTAAGACGCTGAACAACAGTTCAACCTGGAGCTGGGCTGCCATGAGTAGCAGGTGATGGCGAAGGCTGCAGCCCCTGCTGCAGTGGGTTACCATGGGCTACCATGGGTAGCCAGCAGCCGGCAGCCGGCGGGAGCCCGCCAGTAGCTGCAGTGAGCAGCCGTCCAGAAGCCGGTGACTGATTTGCCTCACCCAGGAAGAGCGCAATGATGGTGCTAACTTGGGCCAGTGAAGCAACGTCCTCCACAACTAGACTGAAGAACAAAAGGACAGCAACTTGTCTGTTCCCTTTCCCCCAATTCCCCAGCGCTGTTCCCATCCCCCAGTTCCCCAATAAAAATCTTAAACAAAAAATTGATTCTCCTTTTAAATAAATAAATAAATAAATAAATAAAATAAAAGCGCTTCTTTAAGTCGAGGAGACGCGACTTAATTTTATCTTTACCAAGCGGCATCATCGCCATTTTACAGAAGGGAAAATTGAGGCACAGAGCTTTAACAAACAAAAATCTGATGGAAAGCTTTAAAGGCTTGATTTCTCTACGCCAAGTTTGCCACTGATAGACCACATGGAATGCGTAGAGCCAGAGACTGAGGAACAACTTGGTTGGGTTCGGGACCCAAATCTGATGTCAGCTCAGGTTTGAGGTCGCCCTTAAGACTGCCCCTTAACATAGTTTTTAACTTGCATAAGGTTTACTATGAATAAATAAGTTAATTAAGTGGCGATCTGCATGACCCCAAGAATGACCTCGCAGTCTGTCTCCAGATGTTCCTCATTTTCACTTTCGCGCCCTGGCCCTTTAAGTGGGCGCTCGAGGCCCCGCCCCTAGCCTGGCGCTCCGCCCCACCCGCTCAGGGTCCGCAGCCGCAGCTCGTCCAGACGCGTGCCCCGCCCTCCCCAGCTGTGTACCCTCTGTCCAGCTGTGCGCGCACGTCGGGAGTCCCAGTCATGTCCGCGGAGAGAGAGGTAGCCGAGGCGGCCACCGTAGTGGCGGCGGCCGAGGCAGGAGCCGGAGAAGACGTCTCTTTGCAGCCCCCGAATGCCGAAGCGGCCGGCGACGCCCAGCCACCCGCGGTCTCCGAGGGGGCCGCAGCTTCGTCGCCTCCGCCGCTGCGCTCTCTGGTGCTGACAGGTTTCGGCGGCTATGACAAGGTGAAGCTACAGAGTCGGCCGGCCGCACCCCCGGACCCCGGGGCTGGCCATTTGACGTTGCGCGTCCGGGCCTGCGGGCTCAACTTCGCTGACCTTATGGCCCGGCAGGGGCTGTACGACCGGCTGCCGCCGCTGCCCGTCACTCCGGGCATGGAGGGCGCGGGAGTCGTTATCGCTGTGGGCGAAGGAGTCAACGACCGCAAGGTGAGCGGGCCAGCGCAGGACAGGGCAGTGAGAGGCTGCGCAGGCCGCCGGGCTGTGGGGCAGGAGTGGGCGGGTGCCGGGGGTGTGGCAGGGCAGGGGAAACTGGCACGGACCCGGGTAGACCGGCATGGAGGTGTAGGAAAGGAGCCTGGTTTCTGAGGCTGGTGGAGAACTGGATTAATATTTGGGGGGTGGGGGTAGATACGGAGTTATCTCGCCCCCCCCCAACCATTTTTTAATTGTAGCCGCCGCCCAAAAAGTGGCGGCGGCGGCGGCGGTAGTAGTGGTGGTGGGTGTGTGTGGGGAAACAATAAGGCGCCCATGCGCATGCGCACAACGACCCCCCTAGTCCCAGTAAAACCACACCTGTACCCCTGCCCACCAAACACTCCCCGGGTAATTGTGGTCTGTGACCCTGAAAGACGGTTAGTGCCTCTTTCCACTAGAGAGCTTGAGGAGCTATGTAGTCGGAGTTGGGCGGGGGCGCAGGGCTGTGCCAGAACCCTAGTCACATGCAGCCCCGTGGTCTGTGGGGGTGTGAGGCGGCCCCTCCCAGAACAGGGCCAAGAAACGAGGCACGCCCTTCATGGAGGAGAGGGAGCCTTTCACCACCCCGTCACCGGCCCTACACTGGATGTCTGGTTTTCGGGGGGCTGGGGGGAGGGCGAGATTGGGTCTCTGGATCTTTGTCTTGGACTCTGTCTCCCATGACTGCAATATCTCCTCCTCCGGTGATTCAGCCATGGGGCCACGATCCTGGGCTGCCCTTGGGAACGTTCAGGCAGACAGAACCCCCCTCTGCCTTCCTGTGGAGGACCCTCAGAAACCCAGGCGGTTTCCATTTGGACTGGGGTGGGAGGTGTGGCACCCGGAGCAGGTTTGCCCAGCTCTGCCGGTCTGTTTCTTCTTTTCGTTTATCATTAATCTTGGCCAAAACCCGGGATACCAGAGAGTTCCAAATGACCAACTTTTAAGAGACCTGGGGTGAGCCTTTGCACGACATTTGTTTAGGGATTGATTCCTTTTCAAATTAGGTCCCTGCAAGAAAGGCCCCTCAGATAGATGCAGCCTTCCTCTTATGGGACCTGCCACTCCCAGATCCCAGAACTGGAATTCTTGGATTTATTGTACTTGCAAACATCTCCTCTTTAAAGGGCTTCTTCCTGGATTCAGCTCTGGCTCCACCCTTTCCACTGACTTCCCACTCTTGAGAAGGTGGGAGAGGAATTTTTTTTTTTTTGGTGGGGGGAATTGTAGTTCATGTTACTGCTGAAGGCCACCCACCTAACCTCCCCTCCCCACACTTTCCGCTTGGTAAATACAGGATATCCTGTCCAGGGCAAGAATCTGATTGTAAGGGACTGGATTCTGTTGAGAGCTCCCCCCCACCCCACCCCCTCCTGATATAAGGGCTGACCTTGCTCTATGATGGGCTGAAAGGGTGGGCATTATTAGCCTGGGTTAGTGGTGAGCCTTGATCTGGGCCTGGCCATGACCCAGAGTGACCTAGCCCTCCAGCGTGATTGCCAGGTCTGCTAGTTCTGAGTCCTGGGGTGGAATGCTTCCATTCCCTAGACCTTATCTCAGACCAGTGCTTGCAGAGAAAGATCCCAGCCTCCCCTCAGCCATCCTCTTCAGTGGAGTGTGCGGCCTTGAGGACGTGAAAGAGGGTATGTGGGAGAGTCCCATCCCCCTTCCCCATGGATCCCAAGTCTTGTTAATATACAGAATTCCCATCATTCCTGGCAGGGACCAAGACAGACCCGGATTGTCCCAGAACGGCACCCACACCTCCCTCTCCATGCTCTTCAGAGAGTGAGGAGAGGCCTTCCTTTCTCCTAAGAATGCCCCCTTCCCCTGTCCTCCCCCTGACCCCGGTTGCTAAGCTGGAGGGAAGGGTTCTGTTTTCTTTGCTCCCTTTCCCTCCTGCAAGGAGGCTCTCCTGCAAGTCACTAAAAGTGCAGAAAACATGTTTTCCTGGTGGGTGGGATTGTTTGGTCTCTTTGTCCATCACCCCTATCTCTGGGTGAAGGTGTCTCCTGGGCCACCAGTGCTGGCTCAGATACTTTGCCTGAGGTGACCAAACCCAGCCCTAACTGCTGAGACTGCCTGTGCTGTGGTATGGCCCTTACCACATACTCCCTCTTCATTCAGTTACTGGATTAGTGACCTCCCTTCCTTGCTACTGTTATTGTCATTATTGTTATCATTATTATTAGCTAATACTACTAAGTGCCTACTATGTGGCTGACATTGGGCTAAAAAAAAATCACTGAATGACTTTTTCACCACTTAATCCTTATAAATGCCTTATTTTACAGATAGGAAAACGGGGGCTCAAAAAGTTAAGTAATTTTTTTATTTGCCCAAGGTCATACCGTCAGTAAACAGTGGACCCCATTTCAACAGAAGCAGTTTGAACTCTTCAACGCTTCATACTTCCCTAAGTATAAGCTTCTTGCCTCAGGGATCTTACACAATAGTGAAGTCTAAGATCTATAAAATGGAGATAAGGATAGTATCTGCCTCAAAGAGCTAGTGTAAGGATTAGTTGAGTGTTTAAATATAAAGCAGTTACAATAGGGCCTGGACCTTGGTAAGCACTCAGTGAAGGTAAATTGTTCTTGTTTTTGATGACATTATTACCATGACTACTGCCGCTGCTTCTGCAGCTACTTCATTACCAGCGAGAGGGCCTTGTACTTAGTGGAAGGTCATAAATTGCTGGTAGGTAAATGAATGAGTGACTGAATCATGCTCTTCTTCCATTCTTCAAGGTAGGGGACCGGGTGATGGTGTTGGCCCGGTCGGGCATGTGGCAGGAGGAGGTGACAGTGCCCTCGGTCCATACTTTCCTGATGCCTGAGGCCATGACCTTTGAGGAAGCTGCTGCCTTGCTGGTCAATTACGTCACAGCCTACATGGTCCTCTTTGACTTCGGCAACCTACGGCCTGGCCACAGCGTCTTGGTACACATGGCTGCAGGTGACAGGCCCCTTCCCTTCCTTTATTCTCCCTCCTTATCCCACCCAGATTTCCTTCTGTGCCCCTTCCCTGCAGCACGGCTGGACTGTTGTCATGGCAACACCAGGCTGCCTTGGCCTATGAAGCCTAGAGGCCTCTGCAGTATTGTTGCTGTGGCAACATTCAGGCACTAGGTCCAGCCTGGTGTGCTATCCATAGCAACATGCCCTCACCCAGCATCCCTTCCCTGCCAGCCACCCTCCCCTCAATTCTCCACCATAGAAATTGGACATGGGATGAGGGGAGAAAGCCTCCAAATGAGCCCAGGCAAAATGAAGGTGATGGAGTACGGGTCCTTAAAAGACAAGAATGGAGAGTGGTGGTTGGGTGACTGCGTATCCCCTCCTTATGAAAGTGTCTTGCCGCAGGGGGCGTGGGTATAGCCGCCTTGCAGCTGTGCCGTACAGTGGAGAATGTGACGGTGTTCGGAACGGCCTCGGCCAGCAAGCATGACGTGCTGAAGGAGAATGGGGTCACACACCCCATTGACTACCACACGACTGACTATGCGGATGAGATCAGGAAGATCTCCCCCAAAGGTGGGGTCAGGGTGTTGGGAAGGGGTAGAATGGCACAGGACAGGGAGGGGGTCTCCAGATTGGTGGACTCTAATGCTGTGCCTGGGTCCCCTTACTCTGTGACAGGAGTGGACATCGTCATGGACCCTCTAGGTGGGTCAGATACTGCCAAGGGCTACAGCCTCCTCAAACCCATGGGCAAAGTGATCGTCTATGGTGAGTCTGGGCTGGAATAGAGTGGGGGAGTTGGGGGAAGCCGGGTGGGATGAAGGAGCCCAGGGCTTTTGAATAAAGAAGGGACAAGGACTCAGGTGCTCCAGAGAATCAGGGTTAGGATGGTCTTGGATGTTGCATTCAGATTGCTGCCTCCTGGGTGCAGCTGCTGTCATTCTCTTTCACAACCTTTCCTGTGAGTCAGAGTAAATTCTGTATTTTTCTGTGCTCCTGTTTGGGGTTATTTCTGATGCCAAATCAACCAATTTGCCTTCCTCTGTCCTACCCTCCTGGGCTTCTTGGGCAAGCTGCATTTCCACTTAAAAAACTGTTTCACATAAAAATAAATAAAGGTTAGAGCCATTTTTGAGTCAGCTGGAGTCCTTTTGGGCCTGGTAGCCTACATGTGGGGGATTATCCTGTCACTGGTGTGGATAACTGTAAGGGGCTCACAGGGGGCATATGCGCATGGATGCAGACACACAGGGATGTGCCTGGCACCTGGATTCACAGGCTGTGTCTCTTTGTCTCTCAGGAATGGCCAACGTGCTGACTGGCCCCAAGCGGAACCTGATGGCCCTGGCACGCACGTGGTGGAATCAGTTCAGCGTGACAGCTCTGCAGCTGCTGCCATCCAACCGGGCTGTGTGCGGCTTCCACCTGGGCTACCTGGATGACGAGGCAGAGCTGGTCAGCGGTGTGGTGGCCCGCCTCGTGGCTCTGTACAACGAGGGCCGCATCAAACCCCACATTGACTCCGTGTGGCCCTTCGAGAAGGTGAGTGTGATGGCTCTGCAGGGAGGGCCTGGGGAGGGTCCATGAAGATGGGGGGTCCCAAGGGTAGGATTCCTCCGAGGAGGAAAGCCTCCTTTAGGCTGGCTCTGGAGGGGCTGGATGGCGCTGGGAGCAGAGTCTTATCTTCCTCCCCAGGTGGCAGATGCCATGAGGCAGATGCAGGAGAAGAAGAATGTGGGCAAAGTCCTCCTGGTGCCTGGGCCAGAGAAGGAGAACTAGGGCTGGGGCCGTGGACCCTCGGGGCCCGGGAAGAGAGAAGCTGGGAAGCCACGTTCTGTTGGCCACCAGACCCTTGCATTTCATCCTCTTATCAGAATTGCTCTGTCCTCTCTCTTTCCCAAAGGTCCCCATAGTGATGACCTCTCCCCCGTCCCTGTTCTTTCTCTTTAGTCAGGGCTGCCCCCTCCCTCCTTCCTGCCCTCTGAGGAGGTTGGGAAGTGACCACTTGGATGTCTGGGCCCTGCCAAGGGGACAGGGAGGGTCAGAGGGAGGCCAGCTGCTTCCTGCCCCCACCCTTTCCCTGGGCCTGCTGTGCTGCTTTTGTGCCAAGGCTAGCCAATCCCTTCCCATCCTGTTCTGTGAGCTTGAGCTTCTGTCTCTGCCTCATCTCCCCTCCTGCTCCTGCCCCACCACTTCCCCAAAGAATTGAAATGTCAGCTCAGGATACGGGGCCAATCTATGTGAATCCAGCATGTCCCTGTTTTGCCCTAGTATCCCTTCAACCCGGCCTACCAGCTCCCACCTCTGAATTCCCTTGCCTCATTGCATGGCCTCATCCTCCTGTCCTCAATTTTTTAAGCACAATTGGGCTTCTTCCACCTCTAGATTTTCTCCACTCTTAACCAAGGTTGCCTCTTACAACAAGGACAGGAATCAAACCTGCTCCCCTAGGTCACGACTCTGTGGGAGGGACACAGAGCCCCCCTTCCTTCACTGAGTTCTCTGGATTTGTTCTCAGTGCCTTAGCAATGGAAAATCTGTGCTTGTGTATATGGGGGGTCCTGTTTCGCACCTCCTTCTCCACTCCTGTACTCCCCAGTGCCTTCCTTGTTCTGGTGGAGCTGGGGTTTTGCTGTTCCCCAGTCCCACAACACTGCCAAAAATCTGTGTGTGTGCCAGTGGGTGGGGGGCCAGCTATGTCTTGTCTCTGGGGCTGTCATTTCTCTATAGGAGGTTGAGGAGAAAGGTGGGGAAGCTTTCTCAACCTTGCAGATAAGTGTGGCATTCACCAGCCAGAGCTCTGGGAGGCAATGCTGTCTATTTCTTGTTCTGGGACCAAAGTAAAAATTAAAGCACATCCCTGTGCAGTCATGAGAGGCCCCATACCCTCTGCCTTCTCAGAGCAGGGAGGCAGTTTTTCAAACTCAGGTGGGGAGATGGAGCAGGGGAGTCAGTGGGAGGTGGGGTTAGGACCTGGGTGGCTGGAACCAAAGTGGAGCTTCCTGGGGTATGGGGTGTAACTCCCTCTGCTCTCCGAGCTGGAATTAGGGAGGGTTATTGCCACAACCTTTGCCAGTGGGAGGAGGAGGGGCGGGGCTCAGCCTCTTTATTTTCTAAATGAGGCCTAAATAGTGTGAAGTGCGACTTCTGCTTTTGTGTACCCCACCCCATTACCGAAGCTGCCTTTGTGTTTGTGTCAATAAAAAGCCAAACCCTGGGTCCTGGATGTTGCTTCTGAGTGGAGGGGAAGGTGAGCTGGTGGAAAGCCAGTGCTGATAGGGGAAGGTTAGGGTTTCTGCCCTACCCCCAGCCTCCTTCCATGCCCAAATCAAGTTTCCTTTCATGAAATGAAATGAGGAAGAAGATCATACCATGCAGGCACTTTTACTGTTCAGGGCAGCGTTTTACAATTCGGAGTCCCTGCCTGCTGTTGACCAGCATGGTCTCTCTTATCCGCGTGCTCCCGACCCAAGCCTGGTTTTGGTACCTTGGAAGAAGGGTGGAGGGTGTTGACTAGGGCAAGCTTCTAGCAGGACTTGGTGGTAAAGACCGCCAGGCCTTGCTGTCCTGGGGGTACGACTGTCAGGGCCTCCACCTCCCCTCCCCCACGGGTGGGCTTCTGGAAGTGGATCTCCAGGATGTCGTGCAGTTCCGGGCCGTCCAGGACATCCGGAATGTTGAGCACCAGCACCGACTGGGGCATTGGCTGGGACCTGATCTGGAAAAGGAGCCAGGAGATGAGCAAACTCTCATGAGAGGCAGGGGCTGGGGGCAGAGGTTGGGGCAGCCAGTGCCCAGGGGAGCATGGGAGGGGCAGGAGGCCTGGCGAGGCTGGCAGCGGGTAGGTCAGTGGGGGTTCGGGGCTTGGATCCTTCTTGAGCAAGTTTCTGGCAGGCAGACAGGTTACCTGGCCCAGCCCCCATTCTCTGTTTTCCTACTTACCTCAGCCTTCTGGATCTCCCCACTCATGTAGGGAGACACTTTCAGAGGGCACTGCTGCCCACCCAGTGGCACTGTGAACTGACCAATCCGGCACAGGTTCTGGGCCACTGTGGGGACAGAGGGGTGGACCTTTAGCATCAAGGGCTTTCCCCCTCAGGCCTGATGCATCTGCCCTAATCTCCCCAGTGGGGCCCTTACCTTCATCCTTAGCGAAGCCCATCATGACACCCCCATGTAGCAGTTCCCGAGTTTCCACATCACCACCCCCATTCTTGGTCTTGCCAAAGAAGATCTCCAGCTTGTCCAGCAGCTCCTCCTCACTCAGCCTGAGTCCAGCAGGAAACCCACTGACCAGCACTTTCTGGCCACTCATATAGCTGGACACCTAGGGGGAGACATGAAGGAGTGGTTCCAGGCACAACCCCACTCCCCCGTGCTCAGATGCACGGTGCCCCCTGCCTGTCCCAGAACCCTGCCATTCTATCACCTGGATAGTGGTCACCACAGGCAGCTCCAAGGGCTGGACTTGCACACGTAGCCGGCACTCTTCAAGGTCGATCTTATGCTCCTTTTGTTGTAGCACCTGAGTGGCCACTGGGTGGGGGGAGCAGGGTCAGTACTGGGAAGCCTCCCAGCCTCCCTCCCCAGTGTTTCCCTGAGAGCTTACCCTTGGGGTCATCAAAGTTGACCAGAGCAGAGCCTCCAGGCAGGGGGTAGCAGATCCGCAAGTTGGAAACCAAAGACTTGGGCACTTCCCTGCCCTGCTGAATTTGTCCTCGGAATACCAGTGGGACTTCAGGCACTGGGAATGGGACCTAGAGATTGGGGAGGGGGAGCTGATGCAGCCTTCAAGGGTGGGAGAGTTCCCCACTCCGAACCCGGGAGGAAAGTGTCCCCAGTTCCAGGTGATTGATACTTAGTGCCAGGGATGAATACATTCATTGAAAGAAGAGCTAGATAAATGAGTGGATGAATGCAGGTCAAGCCTGTCCTGGCACATTACATGCAAGATCTTTGTCCTCACACAAGCCTGTGAGGTAGGCAGCTCCACTTTACAGATAAGAAAACAAGTTCAGAGAGTGCAAGTAACATACTTAAGGTCACACAGCAAGGAAGTGGCAGAAGGAGGAGTGAAACTAAGAACTCCCCAGCTCTTTCTACCAGGCCACATCCCTTATACCAGCTCACCTTGTCTGGGGGGCAGTTGCTGAGCTTCCTTTTCAGCTCCTGCAGCCGCATCTTGAGGCTGGCCTGCTCCTCCCAAAGGAAGCGGAACAGGCTCCCATTGCAGAATGCCTATTAGAGCAGAGGGGAACAACCAGATTTCCACCTGCCTTTCCAGAGAATGAACAAGCCCAGGGGAAGGGGGTCCCAATTCCGGACTCTCCAGAAACAGCATTGATGCTTAGCCCAAGAACAACCCAACCCCTTTACCCGGCCTGGGCTGGTTTTGTCCCCCTCTACCGAGGACATGGTGCCTCAGCCACTTTCTGAAGAGCAGGAGCCTTTGCAGCAGCCATGACTGGTTCATTCGAGACCTCGAGTTTAACAAATACGGATTGAGCTTCTGTTGTGAGGTGCTGGGCACTGACACAGGGCAGTGGAAGACAAGGGTCCAGCCCACAGGCCTGTACAAAACTGGACCCAAGAGTGTGCACAGTCAAAGGACAGCAGAAGTTTGGAGGAGGGACAGTCCCAAAAGGGTAACACAACTAGGGAGGCCTCCGGGAGGAGTGGGGGCTTAGAGTTGCAAAATGTCACAATACTCTGTATTAAGCACTAATTATATGTTAGGCACTGTGCTAAGCCCTTTCTATGAGTTGTATCACTCAGTTCTCCCAACAACCCTATGAGATAAATACCCTCTTATCCTTATTTTACAGATGAGGAAACCCGAAGCTCAGAGAGGTTAAGTGACTTGCCCAAAGTCATTTGGCCCTAGGCAGTCTGACTCCACGCTGCTAATGTGCTTTACAGTGAAGAAATCAAGCCCAGAGTTGGGGAATTATTTACCCCACATCTCCCAGCCTATCCATTTACTGCCACCCCTTCCACTGTTCCAAGCAGCCTTTCAGGCTCAGTATGATTTGGAGCAGGTCCAGAGAGAGAGAGAAAGAGCTGACAACATGGGCAGGATAATGACACCAGGGATATGAATAAATGCACCTTTGTTTGTAAGCTGGAGCAGATACCAGCTGGCAGAGTTCACCCTGTGGATGGGAAGCCTGATAAATAAGGTCAGCCCAAAGTCTAAGTGTGAGCTCACTTGGGGAGACGAGTCTGTCCTGGTCATCTCTGTATCCCCAGTGCTCAGCAGAGTCCCTGGCACAAAACAGGCATTCAGCAAATGTGTGTGGAATGAATGAATGAATGAAGTGAAAGAATGACAGGAAAGGAACATATTACAGAGGGCATTGAAGAAATTCAGTGAGTTCACTTTATTTTAAGCAGAGGAAAACTAGGGCTTGAATAACGCTGGTTTATGAGTAGTGAGAAGGGTACCTTATTCTTTATATTTCTGTAAATAAGGGGTTGCAAATTCAGTGCCTACAAGGGCCAGTTAGATGACATCAATGAGTCAAGGCACCCAGTGTTGTACGATAGGGAGTGGTAGGGACTCTGACAAGCTAGAGAGAGTATGTCCCCACTAAAGAAGCAACCTCTTCTCAGTTCTAACCAAGTTTTTTTTTTTTTTTTAATTGGGGAATTGGGGGATGGGAACAGCGCTGGGGGATTGGGGGAAGGGGAACAGACAAGTTGCTGTCCTTTTGTTCTTCAGTCTAGTTGTGGAGGACGATGCTTCACCGGCCCAATTTGGCACCATCATTGTGCTCTTCCCGGGCGAGGCAGATCAGTCACCGGCTTCTGGACGGCCGCTCACAGCGACTGCTGGCTACTCACGTTGGCTGCTGGCTACACAAGGCAGCCCATGGCAAACCACTGCAGCAGGGACTGCAGCCTACGCCGTCGCCGGCGACTCACAGCAGCCCAGCTCCAGGTTGAGCTGTTGTTCAGCATCTTAGCTGTAGAGGGCAGTGTCACTGGCCCTCATATGTGGGATCCGAACCGGGGCTCTCTGGCGTCCCAAAGCAGTTCTTAACCAACGCGCCACTCGGCCGGCCCTCTAAACAAGTTTTTTTGACATGGGAATGTGGTCCCAGTATCCCCTATCTTTCCATTTTTAAGGGAAATCAGAAATCTGGATTTTTATTTGAAAATTTAAAAAAATATATGAAAAATGAAATACATTAGGGGCCTGGATTCAGTCCTCAGTCCATCCTCTTTCTACTTCTGTTTTAAATCTTGATCTAATTATATATAATTGAAAATCTAGTAATTGGCAATGCTATTTAATAAATACTAGCTTCATAAGTAGGGTATTTTAAAGAAAAATTCAAGCAGGGGAGTTTAGATGTGATATCAGTAGAAAATGGGGAACTAGTGAAGATTTCTGAAAGGGGAAGTGAGGTTATAGACACCGTGTTTAAAAAAGATCCTGGCAGTGATGGCAGGATGAACTGGGGCTGGAACCGTGGAGTGAGAAGAACAAATCCAGGCTCTGTGGCTCTAGTTCCCACCGATGTGACAACGGGAGCTGACCTGGGCCTCTGGCAGCAGGCACAAAGGACCGCATATGGATGAGTACATTTCACAAGGACAAGCCCACAAACTCTGGATGTTTATATTAAAGAAATGTTAATATTATATTAACAGAGGGGAACAGACTGGAGAGACAATGCCACGTTGTAGACCTGAGTGTCTGAGAGTTTGGTATAATGCCATTGACTCAGCAGGCAAGGAAAGAGACCCAGTGGTTACTGAAGACCTGCTAAGTGCCAGGCACAGTTGGACTCCATCTTATTTAAGTATCACAACACTGCCTCCTGTCTCCAACTCCCAACTGAAACTTCTCTTTTACAGGACCCTCTGAAGGACAACACAGGCTGATTGTAGACTTACTTGAATTCAACTATACAGGCTATTTACACAACATGACAACATGGACTCTAAATGCAAGCCAATGTCCATCTGGTGCTCAACTGAAAAAAAAATTGCAACTCAGTCTACACTGAGCTCATGAGAGGCTGTACATTCTGGGTATTTTAGAGATGGGGTCACGATGTAAGGTTAATTTTGACTACGTACATGCTTCTGCCTTACTTGCTGAGTTTAGAACCTTACCACCTCATAAGATAAAATCTCATGCTATCTGTGTTCATCATGGGAGTATTGGGAGGCAGTTTAGCATAATGGTTAAGAGCACAAACTCTGGGCCTTACATCAGTTCCTCTTACAACTTCAAGTTATTTAGCTCCTGTGCCTTGGTTTCCTCACCTGTAAAATGAGCATAATAGCAGTTTGCACCTATAGACAATTTTGTTTGGAACAGTGGTGCCTGGCACATAATAAGTGCAATGTCACATAACCCCTCTTATAGATGAGAAACCTGAGGTTCATCAAGTTTAACTAATGGGCCAAAGTCAGTCAAACCCAAGGCCACTGAAGCCACATAGGGTCAAGGACAGGACTTGGTGGATAAGACTCTGGATTAGAAGTCAAGAGGATGGAAGAGCTCCCTGAGGGACAGAACTTTAAAAGTGTAATTTTTTCTTAATTATTAGCTCTACCTGATTTCAGTGGGGGGGGGAAAAAAGTATAATCTTTGAGGATACCTGGTCAGAGGTCAGGAGAGACAAAGGAATGCAGAGAAGAAATTGAAGGCGTGGTCAGAGATAAGCCGGGCCAGGGCCAGGACTGGGTAGTGTCAGATACACAGAAGGAGGAGGGATGAAACAGACCTGCAAGAAAAGGGCTACAAGAAGGCCACTCACTCACTGCTCACTTGCTTACTCAGTCACTCATTCAACATTAACTACCGAGCACCTACCATCTGTCATTCTCTATTCTAGGCTCTGGGGACACAGAAGTGAACAAAACAGACAAATCTTTCTTGTGAAGTTTATATTCTAGGGAATGAGCCAGACAATAAGCAGAATAAATAAGTAAAATGTACATTATGTCAGTGATAAGGGAGGGGAGGACAGAAAATGTTAGAGGACAGTTTTAAATGGGGTGATCAGAATAGTCCTCACTGAGATATCTGATCATATACTTGAAGGAACAAGCCATGTATACATGTGGGGGAAAGTTCTATGCAGAGGGAACAGCAAGTGCAAAGGCCCTGAGGTAGGAATTTGTCAGGTGTATTTGGAGAATAACAAGGAGGCCAATGTGGCTGGAACAGAGCGATGAGGGGAGAGTGGCTGGAAAAGAAGTTACAGGAGGAACGAGGTTGGATCATTCAGGGCCTTTTAACTAGACATGAGTGGAAGCCATAGGCAGGCTTAAATGTTAACAGGATTCCTTGGCTATTGTGTGAATAGGCTGATGTGGGGGAATTGGCAAAAGCAGGGAGACCACTTAAGAGGCCATTACAGCATCCAGGTGAGTAATTTTGGTGGCTTGGACCAGGTGCTAACAGTAGAGGTGGTGAGGTGCAGTCAAGATAGACTGAAGTTGCTGATGGATCAGAAATAGGGTGTGGAAGAAAAGAGAGGAGTCTGGGATGACTCTAAGCTTTTTGGTCTGAGCAACTGGAGGGAAGGGGAGCCATTTGCTGAGGTGGGGAAGACTGTGGGTGGAAGAGATTTGGGGCAGAAAGGGGTTATTTTGAACACATTAGGTATGGAGTGCCTATTTGACATCTCAGTAGACACACATAGTGACAGCTGCCTCTACCGATCTAGCATTCAGGGAAGAGGTTCAGGCTGGGAGTATAAATTGGGAATTATCTATGCAGAGAGATTTCTTTTTTTCTTTTTTTTTGCACAGGGGCCATGCTAATCATCTCTGTGTTGTTCCAATTTTAGTATATGTGTTGCCGAAGCGAGCACGATGCAGAGAGATTTAAAGTCACAAAACTAAACGAGAACAAAAAGGGGGTTGGTATAGACAGAGAAGAGGTCCAAGGGCATGCAATACTAAAGGGTTAGGGGAACAAGGAGAAGGCAGTGAAAACCTGAGGGAGGGAAAGGTGCAAAGAAGGGAAAATGAGTTTTAAGGAGGAGGAAGATGAGCCAGCAGCTGTGTCAAATGCTGCGTACAGGCCAACTAAGGTGAAGAATGAGAAAGACCACCGAAGCTGAGCAATGAAAAAAACAGTCCTGCTTATCATAAGGAAATGGCCAGAAGTTCATGTACAAAGGTGATTATTGTAGCCTTGTTTACAACAAAATTAGGAAATGTCCAACATCAGAGGAATAGCTAAACAAATATAAAATATTATGTAGCAAATAAAAGACATATTAATGAACATTTAATGACATGGAAAAATGCTCACAATAAGGCAAAAAAGCAAAATATAAAACTATATAAGGTACGATCCCTATTCTGTTGATTTAAAAAGTTTTAATTCATAGGATATTTATTAATGCATAAAAATGCATTAAAAAATCTAGGAAGATAGATAACAAAATGTTATTAATAAAGGCTGTCTCTCAATAATGAAGTTAGTGTGATTAAAAAATAAAAAAATTCCTGAACTCACTTTCCTTGCTTTTTAATATGTAAAGGCCCTTTAAAGGAGCAGTTTTAGCAGATAGGCATGAATTGGGGGTGAATCAAGATGGTCCTGAGGAACTGGGGTTCTGAAAAGGTTGGCAATAATATTAACAATAACGAACATATAATGAACACTTAGTATGTGCCAAGCAGTGTGCTAAGTTTTTTCTATATTAACTTATAGATTATCTAGTTTAATTCTTGCAGGTAGGTCTTCTTGTGAGGAAGTGTTACTATCATTCCCATCTTATAGATAAGGAAATGGGGCTTAGACTGACTGTAAACTTTAGAGAGGCTAATAACTTGCCCAGGGCCACACAATTGGAGGAACCAGGATTTAGAACCAGGCAGGTTGGCTCTAGAGCCTGTGGTCTTTGTTACATTTGAGGGGCAAATGGACAATGTCTCAGTGAGCGATCTGTGTATTTGTAATGGGTGTAGTATCAGAAAAGGAAAGACTGAAGAAACTGGAGAGGGGATGAGATTCATTCATTCAACAGCTGTTTACGAGTGTCTACTGCATGCTGGGTACAGTGCTAGACACTAGGGATCAACGGTGAACAGTCTAGACTGGGACCAGGCCTCACAGGGCTTAGTTTGAGTAGAAGCAAGCACCCGTCAGGAAATGGTGGACCACAGCAGACAGACGAAAGGTTAGTTCTCAGAGGAGGTACATTTCTAACCCCTGACCCAGATGAGGACCCATGATTAAGTTGAGATGGCAGTATATGAAGGGGGGTAATTTGTTGGGGGGAGCTCTCAGGAGGTAAGAGTGTGAACATTTCTTAAATGTTTAGAACTGTCATTAGAGCAGTTCTTAAAATTTTTTAGGTCACAGAACCCTTGAGTGTCTAATGAAAACTATTATTTTTTTTTTTTCTCCAGAAAAAAATGCATTTACACAAGGGATTCAAGAGCTCCTGAGGTACAGGTTGTATAATTGTCTTTGAGACAATAGGTTAAGGCTCTAACTCCACAGGGGAGAGGAAATCTCAGCCATTTCTCCCCAGACCTCATCAACTCTTATAATAGATGGGCAGGGAGAGGCTTGCCTGCTGCCCCTGCAGATTCCCAGCCGAGTGCTCCTCTACTTCTCCCCATTCCCAACACCCTCCTCCTCCTCACTTACAGTATCTTCAGTCACTGACATGGTCTGGAAACTGGTTGGCAGGAGCCGAGCCTTCAGAGCTGGACACAAAGTGGCTGAGTCCACCCGGACTAAACTCTTGCTTCTACCTTCTGAGGGGCTTTGCTCTTCCCCACCAGGGACTGAAATGCATTTAACGCAGATCTGAGCGCAGGGTTTGCTTCCACTTTCATTTCAGGGAAATCCCTGTCCTTGCACGCTCACACGCCCACAATTGGTTTCCCCACCCCTGGGAGGGGCCTTCCAGGCTTCAAGTTGACTTCACCCAGCTGAGGCCTCAGAAGTTACCCTACTAACTAAACTGAATTCTGGTCCCAATCAACCATTCATTCCCAGCCTATCAATCCCAGTGGAAGCCCATCTGTAGAATTTTGTCTGCTTTGCTAATGGGTGTTTCCCTAGAGCTCAGAATGATGCCCAGCACATGCATTGATAAAACAATTGAATGACAAATACAAGGACAGATTAAGCCCCTCCACCAGGTTCACAAAGCTGTAATAGCATTTGTTGAAAGCTGTTATGTGCCCAATACTGGTTCTATTTTACATGAATTGAACTCAATCTTCAAAACCCCACAAACCTGGTTCTATTTCCATTTTTACAGAGGTTCTAAACTTTTGAAGCACAGAAGTATATAAACTCACCCAATGTCACATTACTAGGAAGTGAATCATGTATTCAAACCTGGTTGGTTGGACGGTATTTGACCTTGGGCCTTGAGGCAGAGTGCAAAGAACTTGAAGTTTTAGTCAAAGAAGGGTTTAAATTCGGTTCCATTTTAGACAAGTTACTTAACAGGAGTCTCAATGGAGATGCCCAATATTTACATGAGAGGAGCCAAGTCAAAGTACATAGATTTTTACACCAAGAGTAAGTTACTGAGCTCCTTTCTCCACCATTCTGAGTGGAAGGAGCCAAGTGCAAGGTTTGGCTAATATAGGCCTCTGAATCCTATTGCTAGTTTCAACTTAGAACCAGCTCAGCTGGAGAGCCTATTTCATTAGTAAAACAAGGTTACAAGTATCCCAAGCTTCTTGAATCATATCCCTTCTTGCCAGTCTGCAAGACAGGCCTTTTGGGGACCTCCCTGGTACTATGAGGAACAGCTTCTCAGGACCTCCATCCCTATCAAGTGTGGTCCTCATTGGAGGAGCACCAGTGTCATTGGACAATTTACTAGAAATTCTTACCAACTAAATCTAAATCATAGGGTGGAATGCTGGTACTCTGGTTTGACAATCACCGTGCTGTTTCATAATTTCAGGTTAGTGGTTCTCAATTCAAAGTGCCAGTGCCCACTTGGGGGGGGGGGGAGGTGGGGTAGGGGTCTTTGGTTGTTGCAATGGGGGTGGAGGGGTGGCTCAGGTTCCCTAGTTGAATAGCCCTTTTGGGAAGTTCAGTAGATCCCTTTATCTGTTGAGGATAGCCAGATCATTAACAGATCACCAGGCCAAATACTGTAGTCCAAGTCTCACAAAGGCAGATTTAGACTTTATTTCATATTTTTATATTTTCTCACAGCCCCTCACCCACCACTGTCTCTCATCTTGTGATTGTTCTCCTTTCCCAAATTAATAATACATGCAACAGGCAGACACGGGAATATTTTTTTGACTTTTAATGACTGAAGCAAAAAAGATCTAAAACCGCAGCTTCTGGAAGAACCATTTGTTCTTGCCGGTCTTGTACCTAGAGGGGGAAAAAAAAGACACCAATGAGAACAAAGAGACAAAATTCTCTTCACAGTAATTAGAAATCCATACCCTAACATCCACCCCCAAAATCCACTTACCTCTCTTCGAACTTGACCTTGGCCTCCCGTCGGGCCTTGCGTTTCAGAGCAGGGTCTCTGAAGACATCTTTGTTGACAACAGTTTTGTCCAAGGGGATATCCACAGAATACCTGGGGACAATGGTGGGGAGGTAGGATCAGCCCGTCAGCTGCTAGGGCCTTCACATAGCCACCCAAGTCTTCCTGGGACACTGGGGTGCCAGAGTCTGACTCCATAGGAGTAATCATCAAAAGCTGTCCCAAAGTCCTGATATTCTTTTAAAATTCGCAATATTAACACTCATTTACAGATTCAAGCCATTGAAAAACTTCATACTTCTCAACTTTCCCTGACTACTGATTTTCTAGCTAAGAACCATCACTTTATTAGACCTTCTTCACTTTGATCACGGATGATGGGTGGCTTTCTACTTGGAGCCATAATATTTAGTACTGTTCAAGTTCTGTCTATGCAAGGTCAGTCCCATTATGACAATGCAAAAGCTGGGCAGCTAGTTGCCCCATCTCACCGCTTTCCAGCACCTGAGATACAGCTTTGCTCTTTTAGGTCAGCAAACTAAGCGAACGTGAAGTCCTGGTAGTCAACTTTAAGGCACATGCTACTGGGTTTTGGCAATTATTGTTCAGGACTCTTTCAAATCTTCTATTCCTTTATAAGCCTCATAGGAAGATAGTCTATGTGCGGCGCAATATTCCGAAAGGCCAGGGGACAAAGGGTCCGGCGGTCCAGCGGAACTGAGGTAGACTTGTTTTCACTTATTCAGCATATTTGAAAGCCTGCAACTATCCTGGAGTAGGCCAAATCCTATGCCTGTGTTTATTGTGAATGGAAACAAACTTTTACTCAACAAAGAATTTTCAGGTCAAAGAGACATCTTTGTTAAGAGACTGTTCAATCCTGCTTGGCCAAGTTAGGGCAATCACCACAGAAAATAACAAGAATGTGGCTCCAAGATGGATGAAAAGGCAAGACTGGAAACCACGACCACTTTGTAAGTGATGATTTGGAAATGGTGTCTCTTCCCCACTCTGAAATGGGTGCAAGGTTGTCTCCTTATTCAGCAGGGGAGAGAGGAGGGGAAAGAAAGAAAAAGCCACTTTTATTCCCAAGCTTGAAATGCTCACCTTGTGGGCATGAGATGATTGTAGTTATAAACTTTCACGAAGGATTTGATCTTTGACCTCTTAGCAATTTTCTTCTTGCCCATGGCAGCTGTCACTTTTCGGGGATAGCGGTCAATTCCAGCCACCAGAGCATGGCTGTAGGGGCGGTCTGAGGTGCCATCATCAATGTTCTGAGTGAGCAAGAATTACATTTGTTATCAACTGAGGGCCTGATTAGGCCTCGTGCTGGATATAGCCAGGGCACGTATAGAAAGGACACTCCATCCCCAAGTCTGAGACCCACCACTGTACAGAGAAAAACCACACAACACAGACACTAAGTATTATGTTACTAGGTTGTTGGAAAAGTCATGAGGTATTTTTGCAACGAAAAACAGAAAAAATACCTCATGACTTTTCTGACAACCCGATAGATGCCCACAGTAGTAGGAGTTATGGATAGTACTCATTCTCACCAGTAAGTATCTGGAAAGGTTCCTGGGCGGTAACAGATTTTAAAATAAGTTAACATTTATGAAGGGCTTGCTATGTGCCAAGAACCGATTCTTGGCACTTGACAATTCTTAACTCCCTCCACAATTGCACTGCTAGTGGTAGTTGCAGGGTTCCAAAACTGGCAGCCTAACTCCAGAAGCCAGTCTCAAGCAGATGAAGGGGAACCAGGGGTACACCAGTGTTCCCAAAATAGTCAAAAGTAGTGCTGTGTGTGGCCAGAGCTTAGGGACACCTAGAGACTAAGACGGAGGTAGAAGGCAAAAC